AAAAGATATCATTCACCAAAAAGAACAAAACCTTACAAAAGAATCAACTTTCACAAGCCTACCAATGCTTACAAAAGAACAACTTTCACAAGCCTATCAATGCAAGAGAGATTGCTTGCTTATATTGTAATTTCCAGCATTTCAGCAGCAGATAGAAGGCTTTGAAGTAGAGAGTGCAAAAAACGCGCGTTTCTACAATATGCATACTCCCCCCCCCCCCCCCCCCCCCCTTTTTTTTTTTTGGCCCCCCCCCCCCGGGAGAAGCCCGGGCCCAGGCCCAGTTGCTGGAGATTGAGGATTCATTGAGATTGGAGGTCTTGGAGACCAGATTCCCCTCATAGATGAGATGACCTGATGATGTATGATGTGATGTCGTGGACTTGCTGATAGATGATGGTTGACGGACTTCTGCGTGGGAATCATAGCAGCTAGTATTTTTGCAAAAGCTTGATGAGAGATCTGACATTTTTGCTAGACACGTTCTTCAAAACAACCAACATTTTCAAAAAAAACAGAAAACCACAAACCACAAAAACGCGTAAAAACCACACCCGCATAACTTTGTTTTCTGTTTTTTTTCGGTCTTTCAAGGAATTTCCTTTGTTTCCGTGGCCCCTTAAAAGTCCTTTGGACTTCTAGGATTCTAGGGTGTATGTATATATATACACACATACAGTTGTAATATACATATATATATGTATATGTATGTAATGTATATCCAGCAGTGAATGGAGATGCGTCCTATATCGCACCCTCTCTCTATATATATATATCTGATCATATCCACTCATCTGCACCCCAACTTGGAACTTCATATTCTTGGCGATCCTTCCAAGCCCAAATCCTTCCAAGCTCATGCTCCTCCAGGCCACCAGGAGCTCATATGCATCAGCCACAGGATTCAGCACGGAGGACCCCAGGAAGCCTCTGAACTCGAAACCGCTCCCTCCGCGTGCCTTGCGCTGCGCCCAATCCTGGACGGCTTGATGTAAAACACCGGTCTTCTCACGCAGCAAGTCTTGCCAAGAAGCCAAGCGCTCCTTACATCGACGCTCAGTCGAAAGGATGCAAAAGTTGAATCATGCACTCTTACCTGCATAATCCAACACAAGAACTCACTATATAATATGAGTATAGGCGGAGAGCAAAAGTGATAAGAAACATGTTCAGCATACCCAGCCATTCAGTAACTCAGAATGGCTAAGAATAGATAACATGTTGGAGCGACAATAGGCACCACACATCTTCTGGGCAGTGCTGAGTGTCTTTGAAGGCATCTGGTTTGCTTTCTTCTTTGCTCAAATCCCGCAGCTCGACAGTATTGCTCAGCTTCAACTGAGGTGGAGAAGGTTGGCAAGCTTTCCTCGGTCCAAATCCCGGAGTCCAAAAAATTGATCAATGCAACACCGTAAAAGAACCGGAAAGCATGTCAGTTTCCAGAATCAAATTACTTTTTGCGCGGGCCATTTGGAAAAAAACAACTGTCAATTTTCGGAGTTTCAAGTCAGCCTTGAAGTTCTCGATCCACGATTCCACCACTTCCGTCATCATTTCCAAGAGCCCCTGCTCTTCAACAGCTTCAGCCAATGCGGCCTTGATCCCTTCATTGAAGGCTTTCACCTGCCGAAGGGTATAGGCTACCAGGTAGACACGATAGGCAGCAAAGGAAACTCCCAAAAACAGGGCTTCGAGCACCACGAGAACGGAAGAACGTAGGAACGAGCTACCTCACAAAACCACAAAATACACTGGAACAACCATGGAAGTGGAACACAGCCCCATGGATGACCATTTTCCTCTACCAACGGGTGATTTCCACGTCCGTAATGATTCTTTAAGGAAATGTAGTTTAAACATATACAGTATAACCCACAAAGTGCCAACCATTGATCTGAACAAACAATGACCAGAATAAGCAAATAAGATCAAATAAAATGTTTTCTCAAAAAGCAAAATGCAATTCCTTCACTCCCAAGTTCACACTGCTCATTGCGCCATCAGCTGTTGCCTTCGCTTTTCCTTCAGGTCCTCCATAGCGTTCCTGCCAGGCACCTTCCTGACTTGGTGACTTGGTGAGTGAGTTGACCGAAAAGGAGGGTGCATGTCGGGAGGATCATGTTCCTTCCAATCCGCCGTTTCTGAACATGTAAGTGGAACATGACCCTTTCAAGACCCAATGGTTCCTCTACAAATAGAAGACTTCCACTTTCACGTTGATGAGTCGGAGTGCGTCCGCAGGCTTGGGACATCTGACTCGGTGTCCGAAACGGTGCCGGCTTCGAAATGGGAACCTTCGTCATCAAACAGGTGTTGACTCCTCACCAGGTACTGAAGTGGGTGGATGGTACGGAAATGATTTGCAGGTCGGAGCCTCTTGCCTATGGGCACGAAGCTCATGACCCTCCCACTATCCCACTAAGTCATTCAGTCACTCAGTTTGGGAACCCACTCCAGTGACATGATGTTTCTCTTCCAGGTGGTCCTGCTGCTGCAAACCCAGCATTCACCAATCTTCACCATTGCCAGCTAGCCCTGTAAACTTCGATCCTTCTTGTTTGGGTCACGCCTCCATGCATTACATATACATATATATATATATACACAGTGGTTCCAGGAAGCAAATGGCCCTGGCACCCCAAGAATGATTTAGACAAATGGGGGCCCATCTGAAGCACCAAGCTCGTGGGCCCAAAAGTTCTGTGCCGAACCTCCGAGGGCCCTCGAACAAGTGCTCAGACCAGACGCGTTGGGAAGCCAATCCGCCTCAATGGCCTTTGTGGCCCAGTCGTTGCAGCGGATGGCCTCGACCAGGACCTGATGGCATTGGACCGGTCGGCGTGGTCATCTGTCATTATGCATGCAGTGAATGTCACCCCGCACCCGCATATAATCTAGTATAGCCGCGCATCTATCTATCTAGCTATCTATATCTATATCTATCTATCTATCCCTAACAAAACTTATAACATTCCACCGCACTACCTTTCACGGGCCATGTTCTCGAGGTGATCTGTCTCGGATATTGGACCATGACCAAAGCCTCTTCACCTACCACATCACTGTCGGGTGGCAGTGCCGCTCAAGCTTCTTCCACACACCCACGGCCAATGATGTTCTTGGAAAGATCGAGGGTTTATACCCGCTCTATAAATGCTTGTGTAACTCAATTATCTATTTTAATTTCTAATAAATACATTAATTAGTATAATATATATATATATATTAGGTTAATATTAAGCATTTAATAAGCCAACCACTAGCGGACTAGCAAGAAAGGCCCTTGACGTCCACTGGCGCTCCCTGGTTTGTCGCCTCGTGACAGCTGCGACGATCCAGCAAGGCCAACTCCAGAAGTCGAGCCGCCTGGCGAAGCGGACGAGGTCGGAGTGCTCGGTTGGCTCGGTTGGCGGAACGAGCTCGGTTGGCGGTTTGGGTGGCTTTTTGCCCTGTTTGCCAGGCTCTTGCGCGGGGTGAGGAGTACCAGAACGATCTGCCGACACGTGTGGACAGCTGACCGTTCGAGTGTCTCAAGTGGCCGATGGTGGTCATGGCAGGGACGCGCGCTGCAAGTGAAGTTCATCAACGTCTTACTTAGTTTGCAGTGTGATTCATTGCTGATTATACCCCGCAAACCCATGAACAACACCTTCATACATGCTATAGATCAAGCAGGAGTTTCAGCATCGTTGAGCTGGCGCTAACGGTTCCTGAGGTACTACGACTGTGCTGGCCGTGCGGACTGTGAATCAAAGGTCTGGTCGATGTCAAGTGGTGACGGATCTATGTGTAGTGCGTCTACCGGAGAGCAAACGAAGGTAAAACATGAAAAGCAAACTGTGACCATGTGAAGTCCTTCTCTCACAGATCAAAGCCTCCCAAGCTAATCCCCCATCATATCTTCTCCGACTCCCACCCGCACCATAAGCGTCTCCATGTGCTGTAGGACGTCCCCCTTCTTCCTTCTCTCCCCCCGCAGGGTAAGGGATCAAAACAAAAGTAAAAATAGAAGCAAAAAATATTCAACGGGGATCAAAGAAGTAAACAGGTAATCAAACAAACATATTCTAGCCCACTGAGGATGGTTGGGGTAGTAGCAGTAGCAGTAGCAGGATTAGGAGACCAAGGGAAGAGGATGGAAGGAGTAGGGGACTAGGAGAGTGCACCTCCCTAGGAGCTCCTTCCTAGTAGGGAGCTATTTCTACTGGTGAACCATTTTTCGAGTAGGGCTACTCAATGAATGGACGGCTACCTTATCATTGGGTACCTACTTTCGTCCCAGGGAGCTGCCTCTAGTAGAAAGCAATCAAGCCTCTATTTGCGCAAGCAAGGGACCAGGAGACCGAAAGACGAGCAGAGTAGGAGAGCAAGAGACCAGCGGACCAGGAGACAAAAGGACCAGGATACCAGCGGACCACAGGACCAGGAGACCGGAGGACTAGGGGACAGGGGACCAAAGGACCAGTGGACCAAGGGACCAAAGGACCAAGGGACCTTATTACCAGAGGACCCGCAGACCACAGGGCCAGGAGAGCAGCAGAAGAGGCCTATCAAGGAATACTTCTTTTTTGATTTGCGTTCTGTTTTTATATCATCTGTTTTTTGATTGTTTGATGCTCTGTTTATTTTGTTTATGATACCTATGCCCCGCAGCGGGCGCTCCGTCTCTCCCCTCAAACAGCGGCGCCTTCTGGTCCATGTCCCTCACCAACAACTTGGGCGGCCGTCGCGCCACCGCAGCATCGATCGGCACACAGCGCCCGCCAGCCGAAAAGAGTACGTTGCGTGGGTTGCCGCGCCAGCTGAGCGACTGGAGCGGCAAACGGTCCGCGTTACCCAGCAATAAGTCCAACGTGAACAAACGACCTTGCCACGAAAAGGGCCAAGTGACTTGGATCCAGATGTTTGAACAGTTTTGAATGCGTTTTTGAGGTTTTGATGGTCCGCATAATCTGTCATTCGGTCTATGATTTACACAGAGCAGTGTGTCCCTCAGGTCAACTCCGGGTAGACTGCTACTTCAGTTTGCCAAACACCATGGCCACACGAAAGTAAGGTTTTGTTCGGAGTCGGAATTATTTTCCTATGCGGCATCGAGTCATACAGTAATACATCCATCTGTAGCCCACCTGTGGAACCTACTCGAACACCTGAAATTCATTGAATTTAGATCCCTTTCCCCAGTCATTTTCATCACCAAACACGGCGCCTAAGGCGTGGCATGCTGAGGACAAGTTCTCAGGCTGGAAGGCCTCCTTCTCATCAAACAAGTTGTGGCCAGGGACGTATTGCAAGAGTAACATGGAGACCTGAGCACGCCCAGCTCAAACATATCTAAAGATTATCTAAATCATTCTAAATCTAAATCGAATTTGCACAGGAGCAGGCTTCGCGGGTCATGACAGCATTCATGGCAACTTCGGATGAACACTCAGACCCGGTCACATCAGTGTTTGGTGCATCAACACCCACCGAAAAGTCACAGCACGTCGTCACACGTTGCTGCCGTCCAAGCATTGAACCGTTTGATGTGTGGGTGACGCACCAAAAAGCGTCAGGTGTGACGCGACAATAAGGGCAGTCCTCCAGAGTCCAGAGTAGTTCCTCACGGTTGTTAGGTGACCTTGTTGAAGGGGGTGGGTGTTTAAGAGCCTGGGCCCGCTCTCCGTGTGGCACGTCTTGCTCTTGCCATGCAAGGAACCCCCCACTCAGGAACTTGAGTGCGGGATGCGACATGTGAAAAGAGCCGTCATTGAAGGAACTCGGAACCAGGTTGTCTAGTAACTAGGGCTTTGGAGACAAATCAGTGGGTCATTTTTAGCAATCCAAGGCAAGACCTGAATAGGATTTCACACGATTGCAGCTCACCTGATAGCTATGAATGCACAGGATTGAAAGCCAATCTGGACGTGCACCTCCGGAAAAAAAAAAAAAACAGAGCGCAGCACCAACACAGTACGGCACAATATTTCCCTCCAACTTTTGCGGGAACATGCGGGAACGAAAACGCCCGGGTGTGTTGTTCCTTGCAACTGGGTGACCTTTTTCTCCAACATGTCTGCTAAAGATGGACAAACTTCTGCTGCGTGGAGCGCCAATTGGTCCCATTCTTCTCGATCGTGCTGCTTCAGCAGGATTCGTGACAGTGGCCCAGGGACACCCAGATGTCTCGCTAGCTCGGCTGCCATCTGTTCAGATTGAAGGGTGTACCTGCACCAGTCGTCCAAACTAAAGGTTCATTTCTGGTGTTTCTTTGGCATTAGCAACAGCCGTTGCCCTTGTGTGAATGCATTCCACTGCAGACCTTGGCTACGGTTTGGTGAAGAATGGTAACAAGTGCGAAGATTGCGAAGACAACAATAACTTGACATTGGCATTGTCTTGCCATGTTCGTCGTTCGTCCATTGGCATTGGCAAATTTACAGTATGGCCAACTGCCAACTGCCGATGGTGCCATTGGCAACACAAATCAAGCTTCTTCGAGTTGTTCAACAGAATCCTTCGGCCTAGTTTGTATCGTTTGATCATGGAGCAATTAGATGTGCTTGCCTCAAATGCGATGCTACTCAAACTCACCAAGTATGGAAGTGGATAGCATAAGTCCTGAGCAAATCACATTCCTCATCCGGATATGTCCTCCACAAAAAAGGTGTATTCCATGTTAGCGAGTCAGAGTGTAAGATGCTTTCAAACATGATCAAACACAAGCGCAGACTCTTAACGAGCTAGCAACCCATGATTATTTGAGGACATCTTGGATTGCGGTCTTCCTAGCAAAATAAAAACAGTAAACGTTTCCCGTGCGGCCGCGTGTTGCATCTGGCGCCTGTTGTTGCAAAACTTCAAGACCACCGCTTCTTCGTGTTCGCCGGGTGAATTCAACAGCACGAAGAAAACAACTCCACCGCTGTTGATCTCCACCAGTCGTGACGCTCCAGTTCCGCCCTCCACGCCCAAAGCTTCTGAAGTCTCAGCCGCGACCATCCGCGACCAGCAAATGCTGCCAGCGCAGTCGCCAGCGGGCCGTGCAGAACGCAAGCGCTCGCGGAAGGGCAGGGACGCTGGAGACAAGGTAGGCATCAGCGTGTTGGAGACAGTGAGGGTATCTGACGGCTTGCTCCGCTTAGTACCACTGGTAGGCATCTGACCAGTTCAGTTTTGTGGAGACCTCTTAATCCGCTTAGTATTGCTTGCTGTGGGATAAAAGCAAATCTGGCTTCGGCCCCTTTGGGATAAAGCGCGCTCTTTGGGACTGCACTTCTCAGAAGTTGATAGAATACCGGTACCAATGATGATGCCGTCAAAAAAAACAGCAGCAAAAACAGAACGGAACAGGCAAGGTACTATCCAAGTCCTTGAAACATGGAGACATGGAATCATCCTCTTGGACCAAGGAAGTCATATCATCTGCACTCTCCTGCCACCCTGCGGCTGTGGGCTGCACTCTCAGGCGCAACATTTCTTTGGTCGCTGCCAGTGGGTTGTCAGCCATGGCGAGCAAAAAGCTGGGTTGGATTGGCACCAGATCTGCCAGGCAGGCAAATAGTTGGCAGTTATATATATATATATAGCAGAATCTTGGACCAACGGACTATTTTTAGAGAGGCTCGGGTACGGTGGGTCAGGTGAATGCAGGGTATTGGAGAAAAGGTCTGTCTCTTGGCGCTTTGGCTGGGAAAGCATTGGGCCTATGATGGCCTGGGAGAAAATTTTTGCTGTGCCCAAAAGGAATGACTCCAATCCTGCTAGCTGCCAGCTGAGTTCTCTCGCCTTTGATATTGGTCGTTCGGACTGTCAAGTAGTATTGAAGCGCCCGTCTTTTGAGATCAGCAATGCTTCAACTTCAGGCCCTGGCTACATGGACCACATGGAGCCAAAATGAGCACTGGTCCAAGCACTTAGAGCTTTCGGAGCTTCACCCTCACCTCGATCACGCCAGGACCACACCGTCCGAACCCCAAGGGCCGCCCAGTCGACTCGGCCGCCCGGCAGCACCGCCAGGGTCGTGGTCTTCCCGGCGCCATTGGGTCCCAAGAGGCCAAAGCACTCACCGGAACGGATGCCCAAGCCTGGGTGATGGCCGGGCATAGGCTCCAAAATACTCAATAATACCGTCCAAGCTCTCCCAGCTCTTTGTGGCCCCGGCCGGACATGTGAATGCGGGCGCTTGTTTACTTTTTTGGGGGGGCCAAGAAAACGAGGAAAACAAACTGCATGTTGGCACATGTACATGGAGATTTCAAGAAGCATCATGTGTCCATCGGTGCCTCGGTCCTGGAAATTCAGAGATCACAAGGCCATGTCTCTGTTTTCCCTCAGTTTCAGTCTGAAGGATTCGGATGGATTCGAATAATTACTGCGAAGCACAGGGCGTGGTCATCGAGTAGCACGATTGCGACATGCTGCGACACATCCCAGCGGTCAGCATCTCCACCCTTCTGGCCCGGTGAAACCCTTTCAAAAGCCACTGGTTGAGGAGGTTGGGATACTGGTTGGGACAGAATGGAAGGGCAGCTCCCCCAAACAAGGCGGAGGAACCCGCTGAGGCCGGAGGGCGTTTCTTCCAAACGGGCCATCAAAGCTATATCTACATCACGCTTCGCTTCAGCTTGGTCGCTGATGCCACGTACCGCAGTGGTTTCCACAATGTCTGTAGAGCAGCAGCCTTTGGATCTCCTGCAAATGGAGTGGATATAACAGTATATAAAAGTGTGTTTCAGCCAGGGATCTACCAACGTCCGTTCCGTGGAGGAGGCGCTATAATACCCTACCTCTGGCCCACGATCAACACACACCCGTTGATTGGAGGTTCGCCTGATCCGATCGAATACGACCATATGGATTGAAGTGGTAACATGCTACGTGTGGGACATGCCACTGAGACGGTCAAGCATGGGGGGGCGACGTCAGGTCAAAGAGCTCACCAGCTAGTCCTTCTTCCAGCCTTGAGGCTGGACAAACAATTCCAAATGCCAACCTCCCAGAAGCACCAAGCTACCACCCACGTGGGTGTGGATTGATTTTGGGCTTGGGTTCATTGCCAGCAGGTGTGGCATCTTTCTGGCTCTTGAGGCCTTGTAAAAGTGCAGCCAGCCATGTTCGCCCATGTTGGACTCTTGGCTTCTCCAAAGCAACGGTCTCACAGACCTCCATGGCAATAGCCAATGGCCTATTTATTATTGGCTGCTGTTGCCACACTTTGTGATGGGCATGGCTTGCGGCTTCTCAGATGCAATGGTGAGACGGATCATGTTCTGCGCGAGAGAACGGGTCCAGCTTTTCCTCTTCTACAGAAAGGGCCCGAAATGAGGACTTCAGTTTTTTCTCCAACATGCAAGGATTCCCAAAATATTTTCCGTCACTGACAGTTGGATGGATCAAGGTATTGAGAAGCAAGCGAAAACTCCAGTTCGGGCAGCAGTGCGCAAGTTGGCTTCATTCGGATGTGCATTGAATGCACCTTCAGGCCTTTAGTTAACAAATAAATATATATATATATACATATGAGAGAGGGGTAACATACATAACTATATATACAATATACATATACAAACACGTGCTGCTTGTTCCAAGATATGCAAACATGTTCTGCTTGTCCCAATCACTATATACAGTAGGTCTTACTTGACCATTCAGCAGGGCAAGACTATTGAAGATTCTTTTGAAGATTCTTACATGTGTCCTAATTCTTTGACTATCCAATCTGCCTCATCTCAGGTCCCCCTAGCTACGTCAGCAATGCCGTCGTCGCAGGGATGTGAGTATGCAAAGCTTAGCAGCCACAGCCAAAGGCTAAAGTGAGCAAAGCCCCCGGTCACTGACTTTGCTTTCGTATTTTCCTCTTTCTTTCTCTCTCTCTCTCTCATCCCCTCCGTTTAGATTTCGCTAATAATTGATTTCACTAGATATTACTTCTTATCAAAGTGATTAAGTCATGTTCACTGCTCCCCTTGCCAACACCAATCACATATGCACCGCTGTAACCTATGCAGGTCAAACCAAACAAATAACTCTTTGAGTGATTGGTCTGCCATCTCAGAAAAACACCCCCTCAAAGGGATGATGCCTGATGATGCGTACTGCGTCGCCTTGGGTGGTGATACCCTCAAACACTCCCACCATTCCACCCAGGCTAGGCAAGTTGAGGGGTCACAAGGGCCATTGGTGCCATTGGATGGAAGTCAGTACTTTCAATCGGTTTCCCATCCCTGCAGGCCAAAACGGCAGGCTGGTGAACTGTCTTAGTTCAGCAACAACTCGCCCAGGCCATTAGCATAAGCATAGCAACTTTTGCGCCAAAGGGTGACTGTAACGTGCGCTGGACATCTAAACTGTGACATTCCAAGTCGCAGTTTGCTGGGAATGATGTGAATCTAAGGAATATTGGTTTGCAACCTGTTATGATTTTATGTCTTCCAGCGGCCAGGGCTCCGCTCTAGAAACACAATGAAAAACACACGCCCATAAAAAAAAGAAACAACTTTGCGCAAAAGCGGCGGTGAACTCACCACAGGTCACTCCCAGTTGCTGTCCACCAGGATCAGGTGCGTCTTCTTTCGGGGCTTGAAGCTGAAGGCGATCCCACGGCTCCTTGCATGTCAAAAGGACGACAGGTCGGCAGGCGCCAGGTCGCTGGAACAGGCTCACGGCTTTTTCACGAACAAGTAGGGCGGGTACCTAAGTCTCCTGACCATTCAAATTATTCTGCCCTCAACAGCTCGGCAAGCTGCTCAGCAATCGCGAAGCAGCTTGCAATTGGACTGGCATGTTGGCTTGCAGTTCTTGACAAACACACATATATATAGTGTAAAGCGTCCACGTGTGTCCTATGGATGCATCTGTCGACCGGTGTCACTCATGGTGCATCATGGCCCAGAGTCCCCGGAAACAGTGGAAGCTAAAGCTACAAAATGCTACATCTTGTGCTGGGTCAGTGGGGGGAGGTATGCCGCCACCAAGAGGCGTGAGGCATCTGCAGCTCATATCTCCAGGATTTGCATGACACACCTGCTGAGGTGTGCAAAAGCTTGGTGGACACATCACAGACTTCAAGAGATGAGGAACTCAATCCGGTGGTTCCCAACAGGTTAAGGATCTTCCTGACACAAAACTAAGGCCTTGGGCAACTCTGCTTTGTAATGTAGACTCTTGATTGATAAACCCCCCATTGTCGAAACCGCGTGACGCAGCAGCAGCCCTCGCACGTGATGTGTCCCCACACCTCGTCCACGAAGTAAAGCCAACGGCATCGTCGGTCCAGGTGCGTGAAGATCCAGCCCTCCGGTGCCCGCCGGTCTCGGTGAGACCGTTCGGTTCGGAGGAGCGTGTTCGCCACGAGTTCAGGAAAATCCTCAAATTCAGGCGATCGGTAGCACTTGGTAGTGTGCACAATTCTGAAACATGTCCAACATCCTGATTCCTACAACAGGATCTCCTAAAGGGAACCTCAAAAAGAAGCAAAAACACGTTTAGAAGTGTCAACCCGATTTTGGCCAATTGTAAAGCATGCCAAACCCGCCGTGGTAGCAACTAGGCCATCCCAAACATGGCGTGTCTGGGGCTTGGTGTCGTGTGATTTACACCAAGAACTCTGCCAACAATCGTCTTGCCTGGCAGCCCTTCACCTCATCACAGCCACGACAACCTTGGAGTAAAGCAGTGAACGGCAGCTCTAAGTGGCTGTAAGAAGTGGCCGTGAAAAAGAAAGACCCAAGACCCACAGGTGATTTTAGTCGTTCGTTTGCCAGTGGGTTTAGACAGTATAGTATGTATGCCGGAAGGTACCCTATTGTTAAGCCATACACATGCACCAACTCAGCGCGGTGCAAAAGTTTTTCTGCCCGTATATAGATCACCGTCACTGGAAGCAAATGGAAGCAGGACACTAAGGGCGACAAAGGTTTCTTCGAGCAGGATTTGACCAAGCAACACTTGGACTACAACAGCTCAAAATGAACGAACACGTGTTTATTTTTGTGGACTGTGGTGCAATTGAACAATCTAGAACTAAGTCAGTGCTGTAGGGCCGGTAATGTTCACAGTTGATTTAAACGCCCCAGTTAGGGTGTTGTATCAATCAACCGTCAACATTACATAAGACTACATAACGACAACAGCACTTGAAATAACTCTGGGAACTAGAACGCCAAACAACGGAGAGACTGAATGGTTTGTACCGTGCAGCAACGCAGGAGCTGATGTTGGGTGGCTTTCACAAACCTCTTCTACGGCCGACTGCATCTCCCTTTGCTCCATCTCGCCAAGTCACAATCTGACAGGGTCCTCGCAGCTTTCATCTTCCGCTCTCCTCGCGCTTTCATCGTGCAGCTCACGGGATGTTCACCACCTCCTTTTGACTTGAACGGACTTGAACCCATTGTTGGCCCGCAAGGCTCATGTGCAGCAAGGTAAACCCGATTTGCAGTCTTCATCCTCCTGCTACTGTTTTTCTCCACAAGTGCACGGAACCTCTGCTGGAATCCATGACTCGAGGTGACGAGTCGCAACACTTGCCGGCCACCTCCACAAAGGCAAACTGTTCAAGAGATCCAAGAAAGGCACTCCCGCAGCTTAGTTGAAAGACCTGAGATGACCTGAGGTATGGGAGTAGAGCCTGGCAACATATCCACTAAATAGCAGGATTCAATACCATGCAAGGGTTTTTCAAGAGGTACTTCTTTTTGGGTCCTGCGCTAGAAGTCGTCGCCATGTTTTGCTTAAGGCTGCCCTGGCTGCCCTGGCTGCGTGGAAACGCTCAAAAACGGCTCCCAACGGTCTTCGCTCCTGTCTGCGGATCGGTGAGGTTCACCCCTGCCAGTTGCCATGCGACACAGGTACTGGTGCCGTTCTGAGTGGCGGCACCTTGTGAGGCGGAGAGTGGTCCAATGCGGGGCGGTGCCCAATGCATGTGATGTTCAAGAGCCCAATCTGACTCGCACGTTTCTGGTTCACATTGTGCGTTTCAATTGATCTTGTTGCTCTGAAATGGTTCACTTTGGGGGTCATGAAGTGTCATGGGGGTAATGCATTGACATATTGCTACATGAGGTTGTTTATTTTCTAGGAGTTTTACATCATGGAGCTTGTACTGTATGCAACAAGCTTCGCCCAAGAGTGTCCTCCAAGACTGTCCCACAGCACTGTCCTTTACAAGAGTCCTCCATTAGCCGAGTGTGCGACAAGAGTGTCCCACAAGAGTGCCCTGCAAGAGTATCCCAAAAGTGTGAAGCACAAGAGTGTCAAGAATGTCCTTCAGGCGTGCCTTCGAAGAGTGTCAAACAAAGTTTAGCCGTTTGTGTTTGCGTATGCGCGTGCATGTGGTCATATATTGTTCTATCTATCGAGTATTTGAAACAGCTCGTCGGCTCGTCCTCCCCCTGGACTCCAAGATGCATGACGAGAGCTGCTCCTGACTTGGCGCAAGAACGGACCGGCCCAGAACGAGAACCCAGTGGATTTACCGGCTTGCCTGCCAAGAAAGCTTCGTTGAAACACCGAAGCGTTGAATGCGAAAATAAGAGGCAAAGCGCAGTCTGTCGATGTTGGTGGCCGCTGGGCCCGATTCTGCGGGCCGCGGGCCTAAACCGTCTGGGTTTATTGGCAGAAGAACCCTAAATCACAAAACGACAGCATCCCGACTCCCCCTCTGCAAAGCCACATCTAAGCATTTCACTGCTGACATTCTCCCTTGAGGCTTAAGGTTCACACGACATGTGGTGAACACAAGCACTCCTCACGCCAAAAACACCTCCGCACACGGGGCAAATAAGTGGTCCGTCAAAGGGCATTGGCAGGTCAAGTTGTGGACTCTGGAATAGACATGTCCATGAAAGACATGTCACACGACCTGGAACTGCCACTGCCATGTTCCGAAGCTATTTGGGTGTGCATTAAGATAGGAGGACCTCCGAGCCAGAACATAGACCAGTCCCCCGTTCTTCAAAGACACCGTCTCTTCAAAACGCTTCCACGCCGCCGCCCTTCCCACTCCTCAGGCACCTCCTGTTCCCCCAGCAGCGCTTTGATCACGAAGGCGGACACACAAGCTGACAACAGGGTCAACACGATGCCACCTGCGGCTATCTTGAGAAGAACGGACTGCCGAAACCGGTTCAAGGCACGAGGTGTCCAACCTTTGGTGTCCACAACAAAACAACATGAACGACAACTAACGACAACTACCTTCAAACGCATCTATATGGTCTAGTCTAGATCCCCACCAGTATCCCCACCAAGCTGGCTAGGGAACATGGACTGAGCACACCTTCAAGGATGTCAGGGTCGGATGATACTGGAGAAGTTTGCGGTCTAGGAAGCCGGGGTCTATATCTGTATACCAGCACCTGTTCCGGTTGTGCAGCAAATCTGATCTTGATCTTCGCAAATGGATCACAAAGCAAACATACTCTGACCCTCTTTCTGCATGTCTCAAAATAAGGTGGGCACTGCCTCTAACTTGACTCCTGGTATACGCAAAAGACCATGACGGGGAGCACCAACACTGTGATAATTCCATGAGTATTAACTAGTATAAATAAGTCATGAGGTCCTCCTTGATCCTTCATCGTTATGTTGCGAAATGACACCACAAAACATAGGGATGTTCAAACTATTATGAAGGGTCTGGATTGCAATTGAAAAGCTAGTGAAGCAAACATGGAACACTGGCAAATGAAAACAAGGGAGATTGCCCCTAGTTAGCGCCGGTAGCTCTACGCTGCACTCTACACGTTCACTCACAAATCTGGCGTTTTAACCACGAAAGGCATTTAAACTCATTTAACTGAATCTGGCAACATGTGGCAACTTGGCCTTTCTACTCTGAATGTGCTTGTGAAATTAACGCATGCTATTATGCACAAAACGTACGTATTATGTATATCATACGTGCATAATGGTCATTATATGGTATAATTATATATGTACATCAATAAAATACGCGAACTATGCAGAGCCATTGCTCGGTGCAGCATTTCGCTTCAGGCCAAGCAGGAACCAAGCAGCCCATGAACACGCCCCGAGCTGTTTCGCTGCATGTTGGACGCCGTTGTGATCCGAACGTTGGGAGGAATACCACTTGGTGGTCTGCACCTGGAGCTTTCCCCGGCGCCCAGCGGCGCTGGATCCGGTGCAATCCCGCTCTCGCTGCTGGGCAAAAGAACGGATCCGAAAGCGCTTGGAAGAGCTCAGACATAGCAGCTACTCAAAATGGTGAGAAAGTCTCTACATTCTTGACACATCTTGACAGTGTCTGTTGGACGCTGTTGGAGGAGTAGACTAGCAACATCTTTTGATCAATGGACCTAAGGCAAAATGTTGCAGCCCTGTTTCAGGCTTTTCAGCTATCAGGGAGTGTCTGGGAAGAGCTCTTCATCAGCGAGCAACTGTGAGAAGTGGTCTGGGTGGGAGCTGTGGAAGCGGAAGGCTGCAAATGGCTAATGTGTTCGTCCAAAACGTGACAAGAACTCAACGTTTTGGGTATTTGCAGTTTTGCATACATATCGCATATATAACAATATGTTTATCCACGTTGCTCCCTCCCAAGTTGGAACTGGAATTTGTCGGCACGTTCAAAAGAAGCACTGACTTAAATCCTCTCGAATGAGAGAGAGGGAGAGCAAGTATTTGTCAAGACTGCCTTTCTTGAGACACCCCAACTCATTGGGTCTTGCAAGCACTTCTGTGCGTTACCTGCATCCTTTCCAACACAGCCTAACGGTCCAAGCTTACGAAGGAACCCTGGGCAAAAGTCTTCGGGGTTCCCGATACCCCATACAGCGGTCCGTGAATGAAACCTAAACGCACCAGAGAGATGAGGACCTGCTCTTGCTCTTTGCTACGCTACCATGAGGCCAAGGAAAGCCGAGTCTGAGACCACTTCACCAACTGAAGTCTGTAAAAATCTCATGGAAACGCTTGAACTGAATGAATGTTACTTCAACCCGGCCTGAAGAGGTCGTTCCATGTCTGGGGGCTGATTCATCAAGGCATCCCAAATCCGGCGCGAGGAGTCGCTCTTGAGAGCGATGGATCGGCTTCGGGCACCTTAACAGCCTTAACCTGGTTCATGGGGCCTGGGAAAGGCATCCCCTGGATAAAAAAACAAACATTTGACCTACCTGTGAGTGTTTTTCCCAAAAGTTTTGGCCCTGGCCTGATGACTTTTCCACAAATTTGACCTTGGGGGGGTTAACCGGCAGAGTACGGACCAACCCCTTGAGTTGTCTTGAACAATGTCCTCATCCCCAGCCCCCTCCAAACGCCACCCTGCCCCAGTATTAACGTCATCCGATGGCTGGTTTTAGTGGGGTGGCTGGATGTCCGTCCCCAGTTCCTTCATCCATCTAATAAATAGAAAACAAACAACCGAAACAATAACTATATATACTAGGTGAATTAAAAATGTGTCTTCCCAGTGTCTGTCTATTTGATCCTGTGAATTTCCATCACTTTACCCGGTTTCTTTGAGTAATCAACCGCACATAGTTTGGTGATTTTGTTCTTAAATCTATTTGTGTAAGCCCACAATTTGCTAACTGAATCCACTTTTCAACTCACATCAAACATCAAACAACAAGTTGTTATCAATTGGCTAGTTTATAGAAGAGCACATCAAAAAAAACATCCAACAAACAAATGTTGTGCAAACATATACGCACATACGTAATGTTTTGCTACAACACGTTTCCAGGCTGTACCCTTTCAAGGTCTGCATTTGTTTTCTGCACATGTAGCGCCGCCCAATATCCAACTGCCCAAACGTGCCACAGTCTGACAAACCCTGTCACTCCACGCCAGGTACAGGCACGCCAAAGCATTTGCTTCATCGGTGCTATGTTCTACGACCTTAGTTCAATGAGAAAACCAGCTCACCGGGGAGGCCCACTCAAGCCATCAGTGTTGGTGACTTCTCTTTCCTTCTCTGGTCCCTACCTTCGTGGTTCCAATCAGGGGGCCCCAGCGTGATGTCGGTTCATTTCATTGCTTTTGGCAATTTCTGATACCTATCCCCCAAAAAGATTAACTACTACTACTACTACTCCTCCTGCTCCTCCTCCTCCTCCTCCTCCTGCTGCTGCTGCTGCTGCATGAGTGGTCTCTGTGCGTGCTCCCTGCTTTCCAACTATGTATATAGATTGTAGCGCGTGGGCCTCATTGACTCATCACTCTTCACATGTCGACTGCCAAATTTTGCACTCTGAACTATGCATTTGTTTTTTCTTCGGGGTCTGTATCAAGTATCAAACAGAACTATAAGTATGTACACATATATATTTATGAAACAGTGGGGAAACTCAACTGAATAAATCACTAATCCTGAGTACCCGTGACAAACACGACCCCCCAAAAGGACGCATGCCGGACGCCCCTAAAATCCTTTGTGCTACTAAGCTATATACTAAGCTACCCAGTCTCGTTTTGAGCGCGTCCTTTTTCTGCTGCACCCGTTCATTAGAATCACCACCAGTCGCACGCACGCGTGTGCACCCTTCACCAATCGCACAGAGCCGTACAAAGCCCACTTTCCACCCAGGCCTCCCCCACCCCACCGCAGGGCACAGCGGCATCACCTGTTAGCCTGAATCACTATTAAAAAAAACAAAACAGTATTACATGGGAGTACCCTTCGATCTGTTTCTTCTGCCAATTTTCCTACGCAACTTTTCCGTTTTGAAGCTCTTCCCAGGCTTCCATCCTTGTCGGTCCCCCTTTGAAGGGGGTCCACCCATAGGGCCTATAGGGCCATAGGAAATATCAACACCGGAGTCTTTAGATTAGGTGGAAGGAATTCTACCAACAACTGTTTGAGCTGTGAGGTTGGCCCTATCGGTCGGCTCGTCAGGAGGTCTTATTGTTCGAAGCCCTGGAACCTCTTGCATTGTTGAAAACGCTGTGCGTCAAATGTCGTGCAAAACACAGGCGCATTGAGGAGAAATGAGCGTTGCAAGAATGATCTAGATTAATCCACGAGGTAAAATTCAATCAAACATGCAGCGTCTTTTTGTCACTGATCGTCTTTAGTAGGGATCAGTCATTGACCCCTTAGCCTCCAAGGCACTACAGCATGGACGTTGCCGTCGGGATCCGCCGGATGCTGCGATAGTAATCACCTGCAGCTCCAAGAAGCCAGCTCAGCACCCTTCCAAAAGCCTTTACACTATAGACTATAGACTATCCCGGCACGGGGAGGTGGAGGGTGAAGTGCTTGGCAAACGATTGGCACGTGGCCACACTGTCCCAACTTCTTGCACTGCCGCAAAAAACCTCAGTCATTGGTTGGAAGGCTGCTTCACGGTTCGAGGTTTTCATCTCCTTGAGTGCGTTCCCCTGATTGATACAGCAATTCAGTGCCCAGGATGACCTTAATGACCTAGGTAGGAAGCACTGGTCACAAGATCCCATGCTCGTTTTCCCAGCTCCCCAGTCCTTTTTCGGTTTGGCCAAGGGACTGACACAGTCTTCTGCTTGTTCGAAGTGCCTTTTGAAGAAGTGACAAAACCTCAGCGCCGTCGTGTCTTGCCCCCGATGCGTGTCGGAAGCCGTAGACTTGCAACGCTGTGAAAGTCTCATGTCCGGCTGGGCGAAAGACTGGTGCTGAGATCGAACCGCAGTGGGTGAGGCATATTCATTTGAACTAGATAGTAGCTGAGCTCAGTAGGTACCATGATGTTTCACCTACAGTATTTTGCATACGATGCATACCTACAAATACCTACGGCATCCTACGGCATCCGGCCTTGGTCCGCCCGGTGATCCGATCGTTGGTTCGTGCCGTGATGGGCGTCCATACACGAATGCCACTAGTGTCACCAGGTTTAGATTTCGAACAGCTACTCAGGTTCATCAGCTGCTACATGAGTGCGTATTACGATGGGACCTGCACTAAGCCCCTGGACGAGAAACTAGAAAACGCGAATCTCTAGTGGTTGGGGCGTCGCCGTTTACACCCCCGTGATCGAATTTGGAGGCTGGATGGAGATCCCAAGGGGTCTGTAGGAAATCCGTTCAAACGCCCATTACGGGAATCACTGTCATCCAATGATGGAGGTGCCCTGCGAACCGGTCGTGCGGTCTTACCTCACACCACTGCCAGTACCACATCCAACGTTATAGAAACGACCCTCCACGCCCCTCTCCGGCACCCCGAACCCCCCCGCACCAGGGGTTGCGGGCGCTTATGCCAACACAACGGCCATGCTTTCCGTCCTGCTTTCCACCGCCCCCTTCTTCAAGGAACGCTTCCAGGTCCAATTCGCCCTCGCCTTCACGATCGGCATCACGCCAAAGGACCATGACCCGCTCGGCCGAGAGCGTGTGCCCTGCGGGGACCTGCCGGTTAGTGGTCGCGGTTTTCACTTTTGGCTCCACATCCAGGAACAGAGTCAAGGAATTGGTAGATTACGGTAGCTTGCATACATGGGACAATGTTTGTCAATAATTGATGTGCACTATGCAAAAACCGCTATCTATCTATCTATCTATCTATCTGTGCGCACATATATATATATACATATATATGTGTAAAAACGCGTGTGTGTGTGTGTGTGTGTGTGTGTGTCTGTGTGTGTGTGCGTGCTGTGTCTGTGTCTGTGTCAGCTCCACCTACCACAGCACGAAGAAAGACCCATTTGGATGCCACATCATGCCAGACCCTAAGGCCCTAAGGCTCCAAGTTCCTCCTCAGAAGGTATTTGGACCCTCCAAATCCTCCCTAAACAACTTCTAAGAAAGTACTTGGAACTAGTAGGGATCAATCACCTCTGCAAAACAGGATGCTATTCTTGGCCATGGATCACTGATCCACCGATCTGGATGGCCAATGTCTGCAGATCTTCCATTCTTGGGTGCATCCGATGCATCACAGCCAAATAAACTACGCATCTGCCTTTTCCTCAGTACTTTGCCTTGTAATTACTTGTGATCACTTCACCAAAATCCAGACTTCCACATGCACGATTGAAGGCATCCCTACCACTACGAGGTGCATCCTCCGCACGTTCCCAATCCCTTCCGCTTACCCGAAGTGGGTCCATCAGGGTCCGGTCCAGGACCATCCCCATCCACGTGTCCATCAACACGGCCAACGGCCGGGACACGCCTTGAGCAAGTCGTTGAGCAAACTTTCGAACTCATCCATATCAATGGCCTCGGTACCGGACGATGCCAATGGAGATTGGGTCTTCCGGACGTGACAGGCCCCTCACAGAGGTGAGTAAACTATGCCCCATATTGGTGCACTTCTTGGCCTTTCACGGCTGTGCAAGAAGGGCATGACCTTCCTAGGTTGTGGGATACAAGAACTTCCGTGAAAAGCGTATTGGGAGCTGTTTCTGGATCGCAAGCAGTTCGCGTCATTGCTGCTCTCAATGGTTGGGACATGTTGGGACTGCTTTTCTCGGCAGTCGGGGGAGTTGTCTGCATCATGTGCATTTCATGCATTTTCCTGAAAGGGCCAGGCTCAAATTGAGGGTGGTAGGGATTTTCAGTCTTCACTCGCAACAGCTCCAGTGGAAAGTTATGCTACTGTGCACCAATATGTCAGCAACATGTTTTTCCAGTCTTACATCCATCTGGTGAGCGATTGAAGGGAACAACGCTCTGAGACCTTGTCCAGCAACTTGGGATGACATATTGTCGTGCAGTGGGCGGAAAGCGGCTTTTCCTAACAAGCGGAGGCTCAAGGGCCCTGACATTCGGGCCAGGGGCGGCGTGGAAAACACCGTGGTGCATGTGTCATGGGAAGGTGTCTCGACTGTTTCACATCCTTCAGGGGGTCAATCCAAGACACCTGCACCGCGGGTAAGGCCATATTTGGCGTTTGCCATGACCTTCCTCAAAAGGGCACTATTACCCAACCTCTTCGTGAGAGGATCCGCAATCATTTGCGGGCCAGGCACCCAGTAGGTCTTGCACCTGAGTGTCCTGGCTGAAACACAAATCACAGCTACATCCAGCTGTGCACGCCGATCTTGTCCGGCATTTCCGCTCCGGCGGCTCAGAAGGTCGTAGAGCGCCTTCGCGTCCGTCACGTGGACACCGGTCAGCTTGTCCACGATGCGGACGCTGGCCACTTCTTCAGCTTCATCTTCAGGAAGGCGGAGGACCATCGCTGAGGGCGACGTGCCCAAGCAAGTGCCATCTAGGACACTGCTGTTTTCATCCAGCATCTCGTGCCAGAGAGCACGAAGCCACTCCACTTCGCCAAGAGCATCATCCATAGCTAGGGCTTCCGAACCAAGAGTTGCCTTGACAACTCGGCGAAGTTTGTGGGACCTCCAGCTGATGATGTTGAAATCAGCCAGTTCACCGTCCATGACGGACTTGTGGGCATAGGCCATGATGAAGCCACCTTGCGACTTGCCATCTGCATTGCCCATGCTGGCGTCAGCCACAGTCATCCAAATCCCAGCGTCAGTTGGGATTGGAAGAATCCTCAAGTAGGCCTCTTTGGTCTGCTTCAGCTCTGCCACGGTCTTGTTGCCCATGATGATGTGTTCAACTGTGGGGCCATTTGAAGACCATGACATAGCCATAGCGCAAGCTGCGCCAACATCTGGCCTGGCCTCTTTTCCAATCCAAAGAAGGGAGCCGCCCATGCCACGAAGCCATGTGGTCTCTTGCTCGGTGAGCTTGGCGGTCTTATCCTTCATGCGGTCCTTGGCCAGTGTCACTGGCTTGAGCTTTTCTTCTATGTACCTCTTCATGCTCACCTGGATCTCATAGTCCTTGGTCTGGAAGAGGGTCCTGCCGATGTATTCAGCTGAGCTTTCATAGAGGTCTTTCCATTTGCCGAATTTGAGCTGGGTGCGAAGCTTTGCCATTTGGCTTTGATGCCTGTCATTTCCTCCTTGGCAGAAGTCGTCCACATCTAACAGCACTACTCCTGCCACCGTGAACTGCTCAGGCGAGGTCTTTTCCTCAGGGATGGATGGCAGGAAGTACAAGCATGGATCAAACACGCTCTCCACGTAGTTCAGGGCCAACAGCAATCTTCGCACTGTCTTCCTCCAGATGGCGGGCGCATTCACCAAGCCATACACTGCAGTGCGCACGTGAATCAGAGCTTGTTGATCCACTTCTGGAATGCCCGTTGGTGGCATGCTTGCGTAGAGAGGGCCTTGATCCCGTTCATATGGATCGCTTTGGCCAAAGGCACTGGAGACATCCATCACAAACAGGTGGTAGTGATGGCTGGCAATCACTTGCAGCACTAGCATGACCGTCGTGGAAGAAGGGGTCGGTGCAAAGCGTTCCAACTGCAAGCTATCTGGATCACGATGTCCCAGCAAAATCCACCGAGCTTTGGCCTTCCATTTCTCGCCGATTTCTCCAGTCTTCTTGGTGATCAGGAACCGGCTCGGCATGATTCTGTGGCCATACTTTTCACGGATTTCTTTGAGCTTATCCTTGTCCGTGATCAGCTCGATGGCTCCAGAGTTGGTGAGATTGCCGATCTCGAGGAGTTTTGCCTCTCTGAAGAGTTTCTTCTCATCTGCTGTCAAACTTTTCTCATTCAGCTCCTTGCCCTTCTGCGTCAAATAGTGCAGAGGAAACTCATCTTCGAAGGTCTTCAGGGCGTAGAAGCAGTCTTTTCTGTCCAGCAGCTTGAAGGCATTCACATCCCGGCTGTTGGCGATCACCGGGTAGAGGCTTTTGTCTCCCCATTCATTCTTGGTATCAGCTCGCCAAACTCCGAAGGTCCTGCTCTTGTTTGCTGTTCGTTCATTTGGACTGGGGTCCTCAAGGGATCTCTTCATCCCCACGTCCACGAGCCTTGCATCTTCTTCTGGCTCTTTTCCTTTGGTGTCCTTTGCTCCTGATGCTGATGCTGGTTTTGGATATGGTTCGCCTGGATCTGGATGTCCAGGCTTGGGCTGGTAGATCAAAGTGGTCTCAATGCTTTGGACCTGTTCTGGAAGCTTCTGGTGGATCTGGTGCACAGACATTCCTGGCCGGATTGGCTCGTCTCTGATGACTCGGTCGGTGTCCAGGTCCAAGGTGATGCGGCGAATCACATCACCCCAGAGTGGTCCTTTTGAGTTTGAGGCTCTGTAGCGCTTGGCGTCGACATCATAGCGGACCCATTGGCGTAGGCCCGGTGCAGTGTCTGCTGATGATGCTGGTTGTGCAGGTCTGGCTTCTTGATTTTCCACTGTGGCTTTCCACAGCTCATCCCCATCATTGATGATCTGCTTGGTCTTTGCTTCTGGAATCCCCTGGTTGGGGATCTGGTGCCACTGGTGCCTGTGCTGGTTGTTGTTCCGGGGTCTCTTCCAGGTCAATCACAGTCTCGGCCTGTCGGACTGGGTGTGCTGGTGGTGATCTGGACCTTGCCGTCCTGGCTAATGCCGGTGTCATAGGTGCGGGTGCTGGTGTCGATGGTGCTTGAATGGCGGGTGTTCTTGGTGCTTGTCCTTCAGGGGGTCCTCGAGGTGTTTGTGGAACCCTCCTGAGAACTTCGGACTGTTCCGCTGGAACTGGTGCCGGTGTAGCTGGCATGCGGATGGGCTCTTCTTCATCTGGAGGTTCTCCTTCCTTCTCAACATCCACGAAGCCTAGCTTTTCCGAATTGAACCTCAACTTTTCTTTGGCTCTGAGGAGCTCCATCGGAATGATCTCGAGTCCTTGCTTCTCGAGGTTGCCCATGGGAAAGACTTGGCTCCGATTGCATTTCCAGAGCTCTCCTCTTCTTGTGACCCAAACTGTAGCTCCTCTTTGGAGAATGACGAAGCAGGGTCCAACCTTTGCCTGGAAGCCACGACGTCCTTGGCGCCACACATACACTGGTTCTCCTTCTTGGAAAACATGTTTTTCACGAGCTCGACGGGGTCTAGCTCTTGCAGCTCGTTGTAGGCGCTCTCTGGAGTCAACCATCATCAGGGCTTGTCGGGCTGTTTGTCGGATTTCCTCTGCTTTCTTCCAGGATGCATCGCTGGTCATCGTCACCTCATACTCACTCATGTTGGCGAGGTTGTCCATGTTGAGAGCTGGTTGCTTTCCAAGCACACGTTGAGCAGGAGAGTAGCCGCTGCGGTTGGTGAGTGTCTGAAGTGACCATGAGACCTCATGGATCAGGGTCTTCACCTCATCGATATCATTCAAAGGTCGCAGCTCGGACTTCCTTGACAAGTCCTCCTCTGCGCTCCGTGATGCCGTTCTGGTAAGGAGCGTCTCGGTCGATCCATAGCGGCACAATGCCATGATTTTCCATGCCTTCAACGAAAGCACCCATGAACTCCAATCCCTGGTCCAGGATGATGAAGGAAGGTGCTCCAAACGTTCTCAACCATGCCATGGTAAAAGCTTGCCAGACAAGTGTGCTGCTCCTTCTGGTTGGATGCACCAGAACGAAGGTGGAGTACAATGTTCCTTGGCATGTGACATTGAGAACTGGCAGCTCATTTTTGTCATCAGCTCCAAAGACAAACAAGAGGTCGATGCCAATGACCACGTTGAAGTCGTAGGTCCTTGGTGTAGCTGCCGGCAATCTTGTAGGTTGTCTTTTCTCCTTGGCACAGCCTTCGCAAGAGAACTCTTGTAGTACATATTGCACTATGTCTGGCCGCGTGCCTGCTGACTTGAGGAGTCGGGCAAATTCCTTGACTGAAGGATGACCCAGGTTGATGTGTGCTCTCAAGACCATGGTTTTCTCAGCTGTGGTCACTGTGCTGATCTCGGCATAGGTGAACTGCAGGTCCGGGTGGTAGTACAAGACGATGATGGCTTTGTAAGCCACTTCCAGCTTGGGAGGTCTGCCAGTCCTGGCTCGCTCCAGTTGCATCCACTTGTTGTCCCAAAGGTTTCTCACCCAGGTCCAGCGCAAAGTGCGGTGTCCTGGACCTTGCCGAGGCATGTGGGTCTTGTTGTTGGAAACCCACACAGCACAGTCATGAAACTGTCGCCACTGAAAATCTTGGCGACCCAGCTCTTCCATCCATTGCTCCAAATCTCCACGATCTGGTAGATGTGGGGGGCATCCTCGCTGTTCGTCAACCCATTCCTGTATCAGGCCATCGATCATAGCTTGGACCAACTTCGGAGGATAGGTCTCAGCCGCCTTGGGTAGTCCTCCAACCAGTGGTTCGTGAGGAAGTTCACATTCGCATAGCCGTTGGAGGTTGACTGCAATGGCATCACATGAAGTCGCAAAGAGGGTCGACTTCCTGTTGAGACCTTGGTGAACTCGTAGTCCAAAACGGCATTGATGGCTCTTCACCAGGATAATCTCATCGTGGTTGAGGTAGTTCTGGACGGATGGAAGAGTCCAGGATGTAGCGGTGTCCGGATGTTCATGTAATCCGTGACCTCCGCGGTGAAGTTGCTCCTCCAGGCACTCCATGGAGAAGTCCACATGGTTCACTGCTCCATGCCACTCTTCTTCAAAGGTTTCCCAGTCCTTTCTGAGGTTCTGGAGTGGTGTCTTTCTGTTCTGGCATGCTGAGGTCATAGCCAGTGGTGAGGTCGATGGAAAGCTCAGCACGAAGTCCTCGTTTTCTTGCTTCTTCAACAACCCTCGGTGGGCTGTAGAGCTCGACGATGGTGTCATCTGAGTTGGTGAGGCTGCCATAGATCTCTGCCACATCATCTTCAGCCTCATGATCAGTCCACAAGTTCCAGTAGACCGACTGATCTCCCAGCATTGAATCCAAGGCCTCATTGAGTTCAGCCTTCATGGGTTTGGTCAGGGTGACCTCTGTGCTGCATTCAGCCGTGATCATGTAATCGAGGAAGTCAGGCATGAACTCATAGAGGACCAAGTAGTGAACGTTGCCGCCAAGAGAGTAGTTGTCACCAGGCACCGAAGAGACGCTGACAGCGCTCCAAGCTTCGCCGTTGTGAGTGCAAATCACTCGTCGGCTAATGATGGGCCTTGTTGAAATCGGTGCAACTCCTCTCACACTTTCGCCACATCCGGTGGTTATATAGGTTGACGCCACGTCCACCTGCAAGGTCTCCAAGAGGTCCTCGAAGCTCTCGTCGAGCTGTTCTTGTACAGGAAGTTGTCTTTCGAGCCACCCACTCAACCTCGGAGAGCTTCTATGTTGAAGGTCCCCATCTTCTGATATGCCACCTCCATCTCGAACATGAAGGCCAGTTGTCCGCAGCCTTCCCAGGTGCACTGAAGCTCCATCTCCTCCGGGTCCGGATTGCCGTTGATCATGAGCATCTCCTGGGTGTTGCACCTGAAGCAAAGAAGTGCTCCATGTGCCGGTTGCAGCTGATCCGCCACTGTCTTCCAGGCTCTCTTGCAATCCGGGTTGTCGCACTTCCACACCAACTTGTGCGTTGGTCCATGGCGGTTCAAGGTCAAAGTGCCCCGGTGGCAGCTCTCGCACTCCTGCTGATGTGCTGGGGTCAGCACTCCCTGCATGTTCACGTCCTCGCCGATATTGAAGGTCTGGGCTTGTTGACCCATTCCCAGGAGGTCGTTGGCCACCACGTCGCACCATGAACTCTCCGGAACTTCGTCCAGCATCTCGTCTTTGACCATTGAACTCAGGGAAGATGTTGCTGGCTTCGGCTTGGCCTGAGACTTGTAGGCCGTTGTCCTCTTTGGAGATGGTGGATTGCCCTCCTCGGAGTCCGGGCTCTTGGTCGCCTTGTTCTTTGTCACCTTCTTCTTGTCCTGGTCCTTGTAGAAGGGGTGTGGAATGAAGACCAAAGTCTGGTTCCAGACATGAAGCTCGGTCAAAGGCGTCAAGGGCATCCTCTGGTGCTGCTGGCAGTTGCTGCACTTCTGATACGTGCCAAACTTGTTTGCTCCGTGAGTTGTTTCCGAATGGCTGCAGTGGATGCTCTTCTCCAGGCACGGAATCAGATACTTCCCAGCTCCTTTCACAAATGCCCTGGGCCTGACTCGATCTTCTTCTCGGGCTGTCGTCAAGGCTCCCGGAGTTGGCACTGACGAAGATGCAGCTTCGTGAAGCACTTTCTGTTCCGTCTGAGCTAGGCGATGTGCCTCCTTCTCCAATCGCTCCCGGCGTCCTTGTAGTCGGCGAACTTCTCGAAGTTGTGGCATCCGGGTAGCTTCCATGAGCTCCTGAGCCGACTGCAGGAAACTGGAGACACAAAGCCGCAGCAACAAGCGTCGCCACCGGTCCCATGGCTGGCGCGATACGGCCTTGCGCATGGGGGAGGTCAGCCGTCGTCCACGGCACGGGATCTCTTGACCACGCCGTACTGCGGGTGATCCATGTAGCATGAGGTGCATGGAAACCAGTGCCAAACTCGACGATGGAAACGGCGACGTGTCCGGTGGTCATCTTCTTCATATTTTGTTTGACTCCCAAAGACATGTACATGATGGTGCTATGGCCCATGTCAATCACAGCTCCAAGCTCCGAAAGAAAATATGCTGGTAACAAAAACGGTATGTCACCCGGCACGATCTGCACCCTGAGGACTCCTGATTTCCCAGCGAGGCCAATTGGGACATAGGCTATACGAGTTCGTTCTTCTTCACCACATATTCCTCGCACGGAACCTCCGGACTCCTCTGACCACTGAACCTGCAAACCAAATTGTGACCTCAACAACGTGTCATGGTTCTGGAGGGTGCTCATGCCAACAAGTCCGTGTTGTGCTGCCGTGTCAACCAGCGCAATGCCCTCTGAGGTGTGCATGCCCAAAAACACAAACGAAAGACCCGAAAAAGGCGCACTCATGTATTGCTCAAGCTCTGAGGTCGTGTTCATGAACTGTCCAAAGTTCGCCACCTTTGGCGGTTGAGTGAAAAAGCCAGTGGTCATCGCTCCAGTTGTTGAAGCTGCACTTGATGCACTACGGGACGGCATGGATGGCACTCCTTGCTCCAGTGTCCCAACTGCTTGCACTGGTGACACCTAGTCTTTGCCTTCAACTCAGTCAAAGACATTCTCGATCCAGCTCGCTGCTGCCACGGTCGGTCAAAGCCTCTGCCGTTGCGGGCTGCTTGAAGTGCACGGCGATGTTCCAAATAGCCACCGCCCTTGCCATGACCAGGAGAACCACCTGCAAAGGTCCGGTGACCCTTCCCTTTTCCTTTCTTGCTTTTGCTCTTGCCCTTTCCTTTGTGGTGGAATCGATGCTGGGTCTCGTAGAAGACAGTCTCGAGTTGTTGACCCAGCACTTCAAGTGCTTCTGACTCATCCATCACAGTGGGCAATTCTTGGGCGAAGATCAACTGGGCCTCGTAGTTGTCGCTCAAGCAAATCAAATCCTCAAACATATCTTCTTCTTCAGGCCACTCAGTGGCATAGGTGAAGTTGCCATCTTCGTCCAACCAGTCCTCGTCATACTCAATCTCGTCATCACCTCCATAGAAGGTGTTGCTTCGCCAGCGTCGGGGCGTGGTGACCTGGTCGTAGTGTGCTGACTCATCCAACTTATCACCAAAGACCTTCTGAATGGCCTTTTCCACTTCCTTGAAGTCTATTGAACCATTGGTCACCACCTTCAGCCGTTGTCGTTGGTCCTGAGAAAAAGCACCTTGCCTCAGGATCAAGTGACCCAACAAATGTCTTCCAGCTGAACTCGCGAGCAGGTCGAGTCCTTGTTTGCGAAGCTCTGCAAATGCCGCCTTCTTGCCGGTGAGAAAGGCGGTGAGCGTCATGCCGCGTTCACGGCGTCCTCGGAAAATGGCCTCATCAAAGGCCTGTTCCAGCTGTTGATCCTTCAAATACTCATGGGCTTCTTCGATGAGCCGAAGGATTCGAGTGTGGCCGTTTTCAGCAGTGATCTCTTCGACAGTCAGGTGGGCGAGCATGATGCCTAGCTTACTGCCCAAAGGGATGCTGTCCACGATCCTCTTCCCGATCAAATTGTGTGGTAGTCGGGCTTCTGCTTCAACCAACCATAAAAGGAGGTTTCTGTGGTACTCCTTGAACAGCCGCTCAGGTTGTGAGCCATCCCAAGTCGGGGCGGGATCCAACCTGTAGTCCACGAACTTCTTCCCAGGCTCCCGAGCGACAGGCGTGCTCGGGGGAGGTTCCACAGGCCCAAGATTAGGCCCAGCAGCAGCAGCCGCCCAGGGATCATGTACTTCAAGGCGGTCAGGATCGGGCAGAAGAGGTACTGCTGGTGGTCGTTGAGCTCCAGGAGATAGGACAGGCGTAGGCCTTACTGGCGAAGTGGCGGGCGAAGTGCCTTCAGGAGGCATCGGAGGCGAAGGTGCCGCCGGAGAACTCGGAGTTGTCGTTGCGCCAATGCCACGCCAAGTGCGCTGTCCTCGGCCACTCATAGGTGCTCAACACCAGGTGAAGTCCAGTCAAACTGGTAAAACAAGAGGTCGACGTTGTAGTCGGGAGAAAAACAAAAGCGGGCTCTAGCCAAAGGCCACTGCCGGGCGCAAGTCACCCTCGAAGGTCACAGGGACAAAGGTCTCGAAGACGTGTAGAAGGGCCCGGGGCGTCCCCCGGGCTAAACCAAGTTGCGCCCGGAGCTCCCTGGTCGTCACCAGAGAGCTCCGCTACCACTGTCGTGCAGTGGGCGGAAAGCGGCTTTTCCTAACAAGCGGAGGCTCAAGGGCCCTGACATTCGGGCCAGGGGCGGCATGGAAAACACCGTGGTGCATGTGTCATGGGAAGGTGTCTCGACTGTTTCACACATATAAAGTTCGCTCGGTCTGGAACAAGGGCGATCAGCTTTATGATGGGGCACCCATTAACCATGGCGCATGGCCATGCAAACAAACCCAAGATAAACAACAACCATAACAAAACAATACAAAACATATCAAACCTATGTTCACGCGGCTGCAGCCAAGCCACACCACTACCATCCTGCAGCAAGAAAAAAAAAAGTGGATCAGAGTCACTTCGCAAAAGTCTGAAGACTCTGTGTCAAGAGGTGCACTTGGCCACCGTCAAAGCAGGAGGCACATCCCATCCCACCTCTATATATTACGATTATCTCATAGCAGGAAACCACCCCTTTTACCTTTTTGTCCAGGTCATTTCTCTGGAGCACTCCAACTCTCGCACCCTCACCAATCTGACATCCACAACTCTTCAATCATGGTCATGGTTTTCACTCGGAGTTGCAGAACAGGCCTCTCCCAAACGTTCCTCAACCTGGATGCCATGTCCGATGTCTCCCGAACTTGCAACCACTTGTGTCATACCTTCGGAGGCGCAAGTCAACGCCGTCTAGGTCGGAGGTGAGACCCGGCGACGGTCCGGTAGAAGGCGCCTCATCGTATTTCTCGAAGGCTTCCTTATATCTTTCCAGTTCGATGTAGTCGACGCCCAGCCTTGATGCAATGCGCACGCTGGGGGGGGGCGGGGGCGTTCTTTTGGGCGGTAAACGGGGGCGGATTGTTCCATCACGTGATTGGAACATGTTGCTGGGCCACTTAGATGATTGGGGCAGGTTGCTCTCCAGATGATTGGGCTGGACTTGTGCCTGCATGCTCTACCTGCCGCGTCACTCAGTCGATAGCAGGATTAGCTAATGAGACCACTATACAGCGCCATTGGCCCACCCAAAGGGACACCGCTCAACTGAGGGTATGAGCAGGTATGAGTGGGTAAGTGCATGAGCTGACTCATGACGAAAAACATGAGGCAACCATGAACCATCGCCCAGGCCATAACTTCTTGGTCATGTTGGGACGCCTCACCGTTTGATTCAGCTTTGATCCATCTCTCTTCAGGTGAGCCACTTGCGCGCAAGGCTCCGATAAGGAAGATCTTCCTGCAACATGGCGGGTGGACCAACCTCTCACCCGTCCGTCATGAGCTGGCCCAGTCGTGCTGTTCAGATCTAGGAGGACACCATGCCATTGGCCCGGTCAGTCTGAGCGTGGTCAGTCTGCCTTCTGCACACAGAAGTAGTTCGAGAAGCCGAAGGCTGCATACCATACGACAAACCTTGGCATTGCACAACAGGCAATCTTGTAGACTAAATACTGGTCCCCAGGCAACCTTGCCTGCCTCACATGAAGGACATACCCTACAAGCTTGTGTGGCCCGGCTCCGAGGTCTCCACCAATGCTTGTCGCTTGGACTTGAACCACCAACCTGCCAATCCTTGTCTAAATGATGAGGCAATTATTGAAACAAAGTAATAAATTAGATATTTAGAACCCAAAGGTAGCTTGGCCAAGAGGGGATCTTGACCATAGCATCTCCGGCAAAAGGTCCCGCACCATCCCAAACTCAATTTCAGCCATGAAGCATTGCAGAACAGAAACAACGACATTCTATGGACTCCAGGATTGCATACATGATAGCTAATAGCCTAATAGCTAACCTCTGGAGGCCTAGCAAAAAGAGCACAGCAAAACCAAACACCATCTGTTCTCTCAAAAAGTTTTGCCTTTTTGACAGTCCTGAGGTTTCTGGAAATTCTACTGGAGGACAGGACGTCCATTCTAGATTTGTTCCAACGGCTCCCCTAAGAGGTGCCCGATGCTACTTAGCCAGGCCATGGGAGGGGAACCTCAAATCCAACCAGCTGGTGCCTTCGCGCTGAGGCACTCCATGCAATCCATGCCACCATCATGGAAGTTGGCCTGCCGAAAGGCCTGCCGGTGCTCGAGCTCTATAGTTGCAGACGAATACTGTACTTAGAACATAATTGTCCAAAATGAAAACCCTTTACTTAGAACGTTGAGCTTAGGACATCCAGTGCAAGCACACTTAGAACATGGACTGCAAGCACTCTTAGAACAAGAGAGGACAGCACGCTTTGGACGTCATGTATATATATATATACACGCATATGTGTGTGTGTGGGCTTCCTCTCGTTTTCACAGCTCTTGGACTTTTTTGTCTCCTTCAATGCTGATCGTAATGACATCTTGCCGGCAACGGTAAACCCCGACGGTCATGCAGGAACACCACTGGATGCACATGTTCACAGAAGCATGCTTATAAACAAACAACATCCAGGTTGAGTACATAGTTTCGGTCTTTCAACTCCTGCACCCCCTGCGTATGAATGCAACCACTCTGTAACCCCAGTGGGCTCCATCACATAGAACACCAACACCACCAAAACTAACAACATATGTTTTCAGTGTATAGATCTCTCTCTATACATATATATATATATATTTGTTGGACTATGTTCTTGGTGTAGTTGCGAGGTCCTGGGATATTCTTACTCTAGGGTTAGAACATCTGCCGGCACATATTCTTAGAACATCGCGACCTATGAACTTCCCGCCTGTGAACACGTATATATGCTCTAAGTGTCGTTACGGTGTATAGGGCCGGATCTTGGAAGCCGAAGACGGTGGACCCGAAAGGGATCGCATGAACCCCCGCCACATGTAAATGCATTCTGGAGACGGGACGGTTATTGAATCGACAGTCTACATGACTTCGGGATTGCCTAAGGTGCCATTGATGTGCCATGACTAGGGTATATAGGCTCTGGATGGCTCTGGTCAGTGACCAAGGTGCTTGGAGCCCTTTAACCATGAGCGGAGGTGAACACTCGTTCCTGCCGCATGTCTCCGTTCCAAGGTGCATGCCAGGGCTCTGGCCTCCAAACTGCTCGGGTTTGAGCTTGATTCAATTTTTCAAAGCAATGAAACATGTGGATTCTTTGGGCCGAAGCTTTCGGACTTTCAAAGGAAAATGCTCCGGTGATGTCTGAAGATCTTCCCGCTTGCACTACACGGTTGGTGGGGGTCAATTTTACTTGCTGACCATGCTCTATCGGAAGCAATCCCCGGGAACAAAGTCGGTTGCTTCAAAGGCCCCAAAAGGCCTAGGTCCGCACAGTGAATCTCTCCAAGTTCCCATGCAGAAAGGCCTTGCATTCTCGTTTCACCCTCAACTGCGACCTCAAACCACCAAGAACCTCTGGACCAATTACAGTGAGTAAACAATTAAATTATCGGGGAAGGCCTTGACTCATCCACTCTTACTGGTATTGGGCCTATCCCATAACCAAAAACAGTGGATGATGATGGTTCTGTTGTAGGCCTTAAAATCATGATGCTCTTGTTGACCCTTCCTGTGACAGGTTTCTATAGGACAAACCCCAAAAACATACGGTTGTAACCGTACCCAACTCCAGTCACACATCGTTCCGTCCCCGTGCCACTTCCGCCCCCGACACAAACGCTCGTTCTCCGGTCGCCTCTGACCAAAAGGTGCGGTCCAAATACTCCACGTTGTCCACGCCGGCCCTGAGTCGATATACCCCGCCGGGTCTCTGGGGTGCGTATCTGATCTCTGGGTGGGGCCAGGTGGGGACAAGGTGAAGTCCATGTAGAAACTAGCGATGTTGAACATCTACATTGACTGGGGTTGAGCATGTTTCGTTGAAGAATCCCTCGGGGAGAGCATGGATGGCGCAGCGGGTGCTTGGGATGGGTATTGAAGTCTGAACTTGTCAAATGTGCTTCATCATCAGCCACCAAACACCTTTTCAGCAAACAGCATGGGATAATCAATGGCACTGGCACATGCGACGGCATGGGCTACTTGGCACGTGACAATCCAGAACTTGGAAGGTAGCTCAAGCTCTTGAGAAGGCGGGACATGTAGTGAGAGGGACACACACAAATGTTATATATATCTTATATATATAGAGAGAGGTATGATTTCATGAACCTCAACTATGTGGCTGAAACAGGTTGACAAGCCGAGAAAGCCTCATAGCTTAAAGGATTGCAAGCTCCAAAGTCACTCAAGCATTCTTCAGAAGGGACATGCTCCTTTTGCCAAGTTACATCTCGCAAACGACCTTGGCCAAATTCTTTTGATCAAACCTGGGCTCGGCAGTTGGGATCATTGACAGATTATCATGTATATATGTATCTATATATGTGTGTGTCTATCTATCTATCTATCTGTGTGCGACACCCCTCCAAAATAAAAATAGCTCCATCCAAACATAAGCTGTCCTTCGACGTTCAATCATCCTCAGCGTGTATTGTTTTTGAGCAACACCATAATTGATATCAACAACGGTCATAAGCCTTTGTACTAACAACAGTGTTCGCTTTTGAGCCACCTTGGATCAACCCGATAAACCTATGCGAGTTCTTAGGCGCTACACGTCTCCCTGGAACCGTCAAATCACTTCGAAAACAAGCAAGCCTCGAGCACGAAGTCGCTGGACCGGCGATGCCGGACATCTGCCCAAGTCACCGAGCATCAAATAAGTTCGTACCGTCCTCGCTGGCGTCATCAGGATATGAGGTGCACTCGGTACACTCCCAACCGGTAGAAAGTGATGGATGCCCTTCAAAGAATTCATGAGCTCAGGTCGAAAATGGAAGCGCACAAGTACTGCAGGATGATTCTAAGTACTGCAGGGTGATTCTTTATACCATACAATTACACAAGTGCAAAACTCTCTGCACCCAGGCGTCGTAATCCAAGCAATGCTTCTTAAAGAAGACCAACGCCTGCTGCAGAACCTTGATTGAGTCTGACTGGGGTTCGAAGCCAAGTACACAAGAATAACATCCTGAAGAATACCAGATTTGCATGCTTAACCTTACTATATGGTGATTTTGACCACCATCTGGCGAGTCCTTCATGCCTCCACTGCCTGTTCCAGGGTGTTCATGTTCATCTCTTGCAAGGCTACCAAAAACCCTGCGGTTGATGCCAAGCAGCCGGCAAGGGCAAGCCTGTTTCGCGTGCCAGCCAAGCTTCTGATCGGTGTTTGACGTTCGGGCCTGCCAAGCTTTCGATCGAAGATGTCAAGCCGAATGTCCTGAAAGTCCAACAAAGGGCATATAGTGGGTCACCCCCCCCAGGCTTTTTGCTCAAAAACATTCAAAAACGCTGACGCTAACATCCCAGTTTTGGTGAAGGTCTTCTTGGTACTGGTCATCATGGATGTCATCTGTGGACTGGACACGGCCAACAGGTGATGAGGAGACCGGGTCGGAGGCCGGTAGAGCTGATCAAAATGTCCGGGCTAACAACAACAACAACAACAAGAAGAACAATAACAAGGTACAAACAAAAACTGCAACCCCGTTACAACATACCTTCTTTCTTTATCTCTACAAGGGGGTGGAAACAAACACTGCAGCCCCGGCGTTCTCTTTTGAACCCCCCCTCCCGAAAACAACCAGCCAACAAGTACTTTTACAAGTAGTGGTAGTGCTTCTACTAGTGTGAGTACGAGTGGTACTAGTACTAGTACTAGTCATCATCATAGTAGCAGTAGTAGCAGCAGCAGCAGGAACCCTAGCCTTCCAGGACCATTACAAGAATGGTTGACCTTTATAGTCTCAAATCCTTAGTAAAACAATGGTTGTTCGGGATTCCGACGATGAAATGATGGTTGGATATGGTTGGAAGCCTCCCCGAACCCACCAGGCCAGTGAGACCGAGTGGGGAGCTCGGTCTCAAGCCTCTCGGGTGCCCACGAGGATCCGTCACTCATTTTGGCCCGACTGTTTTGCACGAAGCCAAGAGGTCCACTGATTTGGGTGGAAAACATTGCACTCCAAATCATCATGGAAGTACCTGTTTGGTATTCGGATTTCAAATTTCCTTACAGGGCCATGTTCCCTGATGATTTCAGGGAAGTGTATGTGGAGCCCGTCTTCATCATGGACTGCTTGAGGCTTCAAGTGGCCCTTCATGGGAGATGTCCCTGGTGCTTTGAGGCCAGGATTCGTTCCATACAGCCACAAGAGTCAGGTCTCGGCATTGCCCAGCACCATGGGAGGTGATGTTTCTACCATGACCCAGGAACTCCATGGGACTGGTATATATATATATATATGTATGTATATTACATTATATAAATACCTACAATCACCCCTTTCAACCACCCCAATGTATACCTCAGTAAGTGAACTCAAACCTTTTGAGACACCTTGGGGCGTGACAAAAAAATCCATCGGCACCTGAACCACTCAGTGGTATGTGTGTGTATACCTTGTTGGTCCCTGTGGCGTAATATCATGGGCCAAGTGCGGACCAGAAGCTGCACATCCGAAGCAACCGGCGCGCTGGCATTCGAGAGGTGGACCTCAGCCCCAGAGGTGGACCTTTTGGAGTTGAGCTTTGAGATGTATTCGTTCTTTTTTAGCCCCCCTCCTACTCCTGCTTAATTCAGTTGGCGCCTACCTCTTTAAAGGGGGTAAACTACTAGCAAGGCCTTCCTCACTGTGGGTTTGAATGATGCAATGATGCGGACCAGGTGGAGGCTACGGAGAGTGTCTTGTTGCCAAACTACATCCAACTGCATCACAAGTCCAATACCAAGATGCACCAAGCGGCTTGTATAGACGGTTCAGAATCTTATTTCGAGCTCGAAGCGGGCCTGTTGCATTTGCGCTGACTTCAGGCTTGAAGCTGTTTGAAAGCACACTCTCAGGATCTCTAGGGCCTCGCCCTGAAAGGAATCCCTCGGAACGTCGCTGGAAGCTGTTATGGATTCTGTGGCCCTCCACCTTCTCAGGTGGCCAACAGATTTGCCATGATTTGCCCGTGCCCTATAATGTTCTGACATAGGTTGGCATCCACGGACCATATTCTGCTAAAGTGTGAAAAGCCTCTTCAAAAGGACCCAGTGATCCAGCAAAAGAAACAGCTTGTGCCAGCTGGTTCATCAGCTACAAGAACGGCTGGTGCAAAGACCACTAGTTGCATGTTTTGGGCAAGGGAGTGCGTGGGATAGGGATCGGTTTGGACAATGTTCACATGTGTGGCATGTCCCGTCAGATGCGGCTGGAAACAATTCTCGGGTGGTTGTGGTTCCCAAACACTTGTCGAGAAACACACCGACGACGCAGGTCGATTTTCTCCAAAGTTTTTCTTTGCCATCTGCAATCACCGGCACTAAATAATGGAAGGCAGGGTGGCTCAATGAAGCACATAAGCCTCCCAACGAAGCGACACACACACAATGTAAACGTCACATTGACATTCGACTTCATCTCCCTTACGTTTGGTTTGGAGAAATGCAGATCGCACACTTGCGCCTGCTTGCGGTCCTCCCCCACTCCCCCCCCCAAAAAAACAAACACCACTGGCTTTCTGACCCAAAATAGGTGCTCCCATGGCACCTCGACTTGCTCGTTCGTCGCACAGCTCCAGTCCGGCGATTCCTCCGCCACTACGACGGCTGTCCCGCCGGTCGGCGTCCTGCGCAGGGGTCCGGTGCGGAGGGAGAAGCAAAGGTGGGAGAGAAGGTGGGAGCAATTCTGAGAAGTTCATGAAGCAAACGATTTCAGCAGCCACCAGTTGAAAACTAAATCGGGTGTGACTAGTAGAATGTTCCGTCTCAACCATGGATACGTACTTTTGTACCAGCTGCAAGCCCAACTTGGCTCAATACAGTAATCACAGATGACTCAAATGGTGTGAAAAGCACACTAGCAATGCAGCGCACATCTCATCGGAACAAATGGCACTGTTGGATCATCTTACAGCAGGATCAGGTGTGTCAGCAATGTTGACCGTTGATTGACAACCCCTCCCTCCACGCTGTTGTCACTTCTCACGGGCATTGACCGATTTCTCTGAATCAATTCAGCCCACCTCCTTGCCGCCCACGCTGCCCCGCTTCAGGGCGAGTCCGCTGCCGCGCCGTGCTGCCAGGGGCCCCGCGGAACGGCGGCGGCCTGCGCGGAACGGCACCGCTTCGGGCTTTTTGGAACCTGGACGCCCCGGGGAAAACGTCACGGAGAACATCGTTAGAGTAAGAACCCTTTTTTGGGGGAGAGCGGGTGTGCCTGCACATTCTTGTATAATGTTGTTGTGCCTGAAAGGCTGAAGAGTCTCTTATCACCACGCGCTCATATTGAGTCGTTGATGCCAAATATACAGACTTGGGCTTCAACCCTCTTTAAGACACCCTTTCCTTAGCAATTTTGTCCTGATCTCAACGAGCATTTCATTGCTCCAGGAAATTGCAATTGACTCAATTGACTTCCTATCTCCTCATGAAGCTCTTCCTAGTCTAAACAGGCTTAGACAGGACAAGACAAAGCGGCGCTTTAAGTAGGAACATTGCTACAGTATATAATTGAAGCGCTCCATGCCATGTACAGTATATAGTTCAATGCAAAAAAACAGTCCAAACAACACAGACTTAACTGCTGTGTGAGTTTGGCTGGCATCTTGTCCAACCCAAGAGAAACCGAAACACCAAAAGGTATATGTTTGTGTCGGATAGAATCGTCAATCAATCCTCTTGACAAAACAAAACAAATTGACCTAGAAAAACCTGGTGAAGATTGACATTTGAGAGTGTATAAAACATTAGGCAAAACATGTATAACGAACTGATACCATAGAAAAAAAAAAAACATTTAGACAGGGGAGGGCTTGCAGGGAAGAGTGTTGAGTGTTGAGGGGAGAGGAAGAGTTATATAATTAACATACAAAAAGAACCAATAGCTTGCTTGTACTCTTGCTTGTAATAGCCAAGCCAGAGAAGTAGAGGTCAAAAGCCTAAGGTGTTCTGTTCAGATTCGGCTGCAACATACGTTCAAACAGTTACGCAAGTGGAGCGCTTGAAGGCAAAATCGCTTGAAGGCTTCAATCAACGCGAGGCCACCACGGCATTGAGTTCACCTTCTATCCAACAGTTTTTTGTTTAGGGTGTTTGTTGTTTCATTTGTTTGTTTTTGTGTTGGTATCCTCTCTTGGGGGGGTGGCAGCTTCATGGAAGCACCACACCTTGGCATTGGAGCTGTTTAACACAAAACACGCTGTAAACACTGTTTTGTTTTGTGTTGCTGCATTTTGTAGAACATCTCCCAAGAGCACCTGTTCCGTTCTTTTTTGGGTGAGGGACCTCTTCTTAAAAAATCATCCAACTGACATGTTTGTCAGGCCTCGTGACACACTCACCTTCACCTGCCCTGCAAATTCCAAGGAATCTCCTGACTCCCTAGTAGGTGAATTCCTGGTTTGATGCACCTGTCCCCATCCTTGTCCTGCCCCCAGGAGTTGCACCTACCCCAAAAATCAAAAGCACAAATCTCCAGGAGAAAGGCTAACAGGGAGGTGATGGAACTGCAAAATCTCTGTTTGGTGCAGACTTGGGGGCGAAGTATTTGGAAGATTGGGGGCGAAAGCGACACGAAAAGGGATGCTTAGACATCGTCCCACAGTGCTTACCACTTGCTTGTATGCTCCGGCGTGGTGGACTTAGTTGGACGATGCTCAAGCCAAGGCGTTCTCCGAAATCTATCTTCGTGCGCCACAATGTTATAGAGCAAGAAACAAGTCAGTTGAAGCAAGTAACTAAGTAGCTTTCGCTGATTCATGCGGTTCATCCGATTCTGTATCCACATCACTATCACTATCACAAGCCCAGCACCTGTCGGACCCTGCCTTCTGCTGGCGAGAAAAGGCTGCTTGACAATTTCCTGCATTTTAGTTGCTTCATGTTGACAATCTTTCCCAAAGTCCGGACCATGACTTGAGACTCCCAGTCCGAACAAGTCCCTACACAGATATTGTATGATTTATGTACTTGATCCAGGAGGGCGGGGGCCGAAAGCTAGCCAAAGCGATAGGAGGCAAGCACAACAGCAGCAAACCAGCAAACCAGCAGCAAATATCCAGTAGGCCAGCAACACCGCGGCAGCAGCAAAAACCAGCAGCCCAGCAGCACACCAGCAGAACGGCAGCAGCACAGCAGCTGAAGCAACACACCGAACATGCCGCGGCCAAAGTCTACAAGGCATTGCCCGAAGCGACGCGTAAGCATGCTTCCAGAAAAGAAGCAGAACTTCTGCATGCCAGCAATCCAGCGGCACACACCAGCAGCAAAAACAGCAGCAGCAGCAGCAGAAAGCTGCTTCAAATCTACACGGTGGGTTTTTTCGTGAATTCATTGGTGTCTTGAAGCAGGCGTCCGAAAGGGACCTTGTCAAACCATGCAACAAGGACCTCTGACGAACACCTTCCCTTCAATACGTCTTTCAAAAATGGGATAACCTTCACAAAAAGCTACTAGGAACAAGTGCCACGCTAGTAGTAACAGGTGCCTTACTAGTAGTAACAAGAAGCTAGTATATCCATTGTACTTGGTGTAGTTTTCACAACAGTCTCCCATGGTCCCATGTGTCCCCGGGAGTTGGGTCCGCGAGAGGTCAAGCGAGCGAAGGCACCAAAGCAAGGAAGTACTCAGCTAGCACACTCGCTTTCGGGAACTGTATATACAATCAATTATGTACACTAGGTGTAATATCCGCAATATATATACATATGATATACACCCTGGAAGACTAACATGGAACCTGAAAACCCCTGGTTGGTAGAGGAAAATAGTCTTCCATGGGACCATTGTCAGGGTCTATGTTAGTTTTCGGGAGTGTAATAAGTATATATATATATAATGCAATTGCGGTTGCTCTGCCCTCTCCCGTCGTGGCTCCTGGCTAGCCCATCGGCTGGAGGCTCCTCGACGGAAGAAACCCATAATGATGGGCACGAGTGGAAATGATGTGGCAAGGACCAAGGACATATTCTGTTTGAAGGACTTCTGCCCTCGTGGAACTGGAGATCCGCCAAGCCTTCCTGAACATCAACCAAACCAACCGACAAAATGGAGCGCATCCACGTCTGACAAGAACATCGACCACCCTCCAACATGTTCCCGCTACTTTCTCTTTATAGCCAATCATAGTTCGTGAGGCCACCTACCTGGGACCTTCTTCAGGATCGCTGGACATAAGGCGAGGTTGCCCGACCAGTAGCATATCATCATTCGATGTTGCTGCTGAGTTGCCACCCTGCGCTTGCCACCATATCACACAGCACCCAATTGAACATAGGTATACAGTATACATGTTGGAAATCAAAGCTATCAATTTGAGGACCACAACCAGTGGGACTGGTCAGTGCTGAGTTCACCATGCCCCACATATGAGCGGTGTATGATACGCAGTGGGAAGCAAGCAACCAACCCAAAACGGAACAGTTGACAAAGGTACTGCACCCAGTGCTTCACGAGCACCAGTACCAGCATGGCCGGCTATCAGGAATCTGTAATCCTATCCCTCTGCGATACACACGTCACCAGGTAAACCCTCCAAAAGAAAGTCTTCCAGGACAACTTCCTCACCTTGCTGATATAAAAGGATGAAAACGGACTGAGCAAATCTGAGCAAGACTCAAATCCAAGCCGTTGGGCCGTTGGTGAGATCCCCACTTAATTAGGCGATCTCACTGCCGATCTTAGGTGGCCCATCTGGTGCGAGAAAAGGATGCCTCCGAACGCACGTTCGGAAGCGTCCTCTTTGTTGCCCACAGCGATGTGAAATGCCTTCATCCTTGCCGCTTGCGCGAACATACTTCATCTGGCTCGCGCATGCGTTCATACATACAACAACCATCAACAACCCTAAATGCTGGGTCCGTGGTTCTGTGGAGAACCGAGAACAATGGTCCTCCAATGGGCCAGTTAATCCCAAAGGCTCCATCAACACAGGCCAGTAGTCTTCGGGGGGTCTGTGTTGAGTGTCTCTCGGGGAGAGAGAAAAGGTCGCTGAATCACCCAGAATACATCCAAATGAGAGGAACAAATCTCGCATGTTTCCAATTATTGACAACGATTCAATGATCAAAAGTATAAGTATATAACCATGCAACCTGAAGCCCGTCCCAGTCGGACAAACACGGCTCAAACCTCGCTGATAAGAAGAGTCGGAAGTGCGACTCGTGCTCTGCCAGATTTTGGCTCGAGCAGTGTGATGTTTTTAGTTGCTTTAAGAAACCAATGGCGCAAGAGTTTCCAGTAAGAGTGTTTACTAAGAGATACTAAGAGTGTCAAGCAGCGCGCAACAGTGTCAGCCCAAAGTGTCACGCATGCTCGAGTGTGGCGAGTGTCTGGCATCTGAGAATTTGGAACGCATTGTCAGGGCGGCTGCGGGAACATGAAAAGTCGCCCAGAACATCCCACGTCCCACGGAGTTTCTGGGATGACGGAGTGAGCAATCAGGCTGAGGGACTGACTAAGAGGGCTCAAAAGGCTGAGGATGCTCAGGTCCAGTTCCAGTCCACGGTACCAGTACAAACAACTCAGCGTTTAGCTCTGAAGTTATAAAGGGAGCGAGTCTTCACCAGGGTTTGAGTCTTCACATGGGAACGGGCGTGCTTTCGGAAGTTCACTCTGTGTTCGGCCCGTTCTGGAGCTCTCAGACCTACAAAGCCATGGGAAGAGTTACTGGGTGGACACGACGTGGTTACAAGATATTACACAAAAAAGTCAATGATTTCAGAGTAAATGGCAGAAAAAAAAACCATCAACCTAGAATAAATAAGATTAACAAATAAAAAGTAGTAAATAAACAAAAAATAAGAATATTAATACATCCACATATACCGTCCACTATACCCTCCCAGGGTCACTTCATCTAACACTCCAAGGGTCACTTCAGTGGCCACCGTCGCTTGGCTGGACTGCTTCAAGTCGTCAGACGGCACCTACCAATCGGAGACGCATTGGTCAAGCAAATAGCAAAGTCAACGAGCTGTTCCTTTCTCCTGCCTTACCTAAGCATCGCAGTTGTTCTCTCCAATATGCCAAAACATCCCAAAACAGGCTCCTGCCGGTGGTCTCACAGTGATCGCACTATGGTGAGCCGCAATACATCCTCTAGCCGAACACATGACCTCATACGCCATAAGACCCTATCCATCACGTTTTTGCTCTCTGGCTGCACACCTGTGATTGCTGCAACGGCAATGTGACACAGGAAAATCCCGGCCCATTCCCAACGGAGGATATCAGCATCGTCCGCACCGTCGCCAGATCTTGATCTTGGAGCTTCTTCGAAGAACTCTTTTTGAGGACCTGACGTGATGACAAACGTGGAAAGCGCAAAACCGCATTTTCTGGGGCCTCTTGGCATTGAAAGGGCTGGTTGTCAACGTATTGAACAAGAAACTGGCTCTAGTACTGAACCTCAAAACTTTGTAGTTTTAGAGACAGGTATAGGCTGGTATAGGTATGGTTGGACATGATTGAACATATTATAGGCAAACCCTGAAATACCGATTACGTTCTCAACGGATGCTTCCCTCACAGCCCCAAGCAAATGTGAGCTGTACTATGGGTCAACCCAGGGCCGTTGCGATTCTAGGAAGCGGCTGCAAGACATTACTTGCGACTTACTCAGTGGGTTGTCCCTTTCTGCTTGCGACAAGTCTTTGCACTTGGGGCGGTTCAAGCAATCTACTCTGCAAGTTGTTTCGAACATTGGCCAACTTGAGCTCTCTATAGAGCATTACAGGGTAATTATTATGTCTGCGGCAAGCGCAACAGGAGACATTTCAAGGCTTCTTTCTAGAGCCCTGCATTTTCTAATCTTGTAGAAACACTCTCTCAAAACATTCACGTTTTGATGGTTCAAGAATATATAATAGTGGTTGCAACATGTTGCAACAAGCGAGTGCTGCTAGTTGTCCTCTTACATGCGTTAGCGACAGGAATCATCCACAAACGCCGCCCGAGGCATGGGCGGATTCCGCTGGGCCTAGGGCCTTCCCCATCGCCAGTACCACCTCCACATCCACACTTCTCCACGAGGCGTTTCTACCAGGCTGCGAGGTGCAACGCGGTGGGCACGCCCAATCTATTCACCGAAGCTTCCCACCGGCCGCAACGGTGATGCAATGGAACGCAGGCGTTTCCGTGGCCCATGAGTGACAGAATGTTCATATTCAGAAATTGTCAGAATGTTCATGGGTGGCCCATGGGCTGGGCTTTGTTCTCTGCTGAGGTCACATCTGGCGAGGGTCCTCCACTGCACTATTGCCCTTGTCAGAATCCATATCTGATTGATCTCCGGGGGCTCAGCTTGGTGGAGCCCCCTGCAACATGGGTATGCCCATCAGGCGCGCGGTGTTTCACCGGACAGTGAAGGAGTGCCAACTGCGAGACTGCCACGAATCTTGGCAAAAAAAGGATGCCAATCCGCGATTTTCCACCCATGAGACATCCCAACATCCAATACCAGGCACAGGTTCTCCTGGGGTTGATCATCTGTCGCCGCTCCTCTCCTTTCGCTCCGACAGCACCGTGCCAAAGTTTCGTAGAGTCTCACCATCAGTTGCTTTGACACATTGAGTCTGCTGGTGCCCCTTAGGACCTTTTTCGGGACCAGTGACTAGCATACAAGCCGCACCAGCGGACTGGTTGTTGCATTTGTTGCTTTGTTTCCCATGTGATGCTTCGCATTCGCCATGCGTGACGACGTGCGAAATCGTGCGGCCCGTGAAGGCGGTGGACACTTCAGCTTTGGAAAGAAAAGTTGACATCCGTGCTTATCTTGGACGGGTCCGCACCAAAACAGGGCTCCAACCTGTGTGGTTTTTGTTTCCTCAGCTCTGCGGTTCGGGGTTGGGCAAGCCTTCGGCAGCCAAGCATTTATCGGGAAGAGTCCTCTAAGCCTCACAATTGTGTGTGTGTGTGGCATGTCGGCATCCAAAAATTGGGCATGAGTTCAGAATGCCAATACCTTACAGCTATACGGTGTATATACGGTATAATGTAACACAATATGTAACATGTATATTGTAATGTAGACTCTTGATTAATACACCAAACCATTTGCACTGAAAATACTCTTCAAAGTGGGGTTTATTAATCAAGAGTCTACATTAAGTATACTATAATCATATATATTATGTGTATATATGATTATAGTATACTTTATGTAGACTCTTGATATATAACTCTGAAGTTCCAGCGAGCCGTGAATCACATATTCTTCATTTCATGTCAACACTTATGACTTATGACAGGCCTGCCCTGCTGCGAGTTCTGCCCTGCCGGGCAAGGGAGAAGACCGGAGGAGCGACAAACCCGAATCTTTTCGGAACAACGGCTTCCAAGCCTGAGACCCCCAACTAGATAGATGTCCTATTTTTCCAGAACATGCTAAAACTGCCACGCAAACCCCCTTGTCATCATGAGAGATAGAAAATTCAAACCATGGAAACTGGTGGAAAAGGTGGGACAAGGACCTAAATGCGAAGGTATCATTCCTGTAACGATGGGGACTGTGCCAATCTCTAATTCCTGCAGGTCGGTTGGGGGACCCACTCCCGTGCAGTCTAAGGTGCCCTTCGCTCATCCCTTTCAAGCTTCTTCTTTAGCCTCAACAGTCGAAGAAATCTCACAAACACGATGAGTTCCAGCTAGGACTTCTTGTGCTGATAGACGTTCCATACTCTTGGAACTCCGTGCGTTGAGCACATCTGTTGGCTTTGTTGGGTCGATTCTATGGCGGCTTCAGCCGTCCATGGCGATCGTTGCACACACACACACAGAGAACGTCCTTATTGTAAGAAAAACAAGGCACAAAGCATGGTCGGAGCACATCGGTCGAACACTCACAGCTTGGTTGTTTCACTGCCCAAACACTGTGGCTTGACTGACATGGATTCCTGCATGCAGCTCCGAACAAAACTGACATGGATGCTTCGACATGGATGCAAAAAGCAAGAAGGCTCCACAACGGCAATCACCCACACAATCCAAACCCAAACATCATAACTCTGCCAAACCAAACATCATCCCTCCCACAAGGATGTGGATGTCGATGTGCCTCTTCCCACAACCCTCGCGTCTGCCGATGTGCCACTGCCCATGTGCCACACAAGACCTGTTGGGAGTGTAGTGTAGTGCTCCAACTGGTGATGTCTTTTTCTCCTCCAGGTAGCTGCTAAATCTCATATGTTGGCATCATGTTGAAGATCTATTATCCCTCCACACTTCCAAGAGTGAAAATCATGTTCAACTTCTCCGCAACTCGCCCAGACGCCAGCCATCTCTGGTCTTGGAGCCCTCTTCGTCCCTCAGAGCACACGGAGGGAAAAGCGGAACAGTGGAACAATGGGGAAATCATAGGCCATCGGTCGGTGCAAGATGCACAATCATGAACATAGCATGTGTGCAATTTTTTGAGAATGCACCACCCGTCAGACAAGAACATCGCTGCCAAGCTGCTTCTGTATCCCTAAAAGGCTGCTTAAGGAGGTGTCGACGGACCAGTCTTTCAGTCGCATTTTCCGTCGTCCAGAACGTGGCGATTGCCATACATCCTGCGACGCCCTCTCTCTGCACCCACTAGGACGCTCTCACGGATTAAGCCGCAAAAGGACCTTCTGCTTATCAAATCTCCTGTTTTCCGGTCTTTGCGAACCGTCGCACGCTGCGCCAATGGAATATGAACACCCTCAAGTCCGTCGCCTTTTGGGGGTGCATTCCGTCCGTTTTCCTGCAAGGATCTATCCGCTTTTGTGGGAGCTTCATGCAATTTGGGAATGGGGTGGGGAGTTAAGATGCCCTTGGGAAACCAATGCTAGCAGAACAAAAAGTTCTTTCAAAGGAAGTTACCTACCAAGTGACAGTCAATGCTGGCGTGCATTGCTCATTGTATGGCAAGTTGTCGGGTTGGCAGAACTAAGCTAGGCTCCATGGTGGAAGCAGCTCCCACGAACCTGACAACAGGTACACGTGTCCAGTCCTGATTGAGAATATCGTTCTCTTTGGCTCTCCTTGGGTGTGACCGCAAATCAAGGCAAGTGTTGAGACTCTTCAACGTGCTACATGTACCCTAGGGCTCCAAGTACCTCCTCACAAGGTATTTGGACCCTGTAAACCCACCCCAAGCCAAGCACCTTAGAAGGCACTTGGAGCCCTAGGAGTATGCACAAACAATTGTTGTATGAGGTCGAAACTAGCCGAGACTCTTGCATTGCCTTTAACTTTTAACGTCTCCATTGACTCATTATTACTAACCAAATTGTATGTTCTTCAACCCAGTCTTGTCTTGGCATGGACTGGACTACTGAATCCTTAAAAGCTTCTCGTGCGACTCGAACCATGGCGCACAGCAAGTGGCACACATGCGGTCATTAGGCATTATCAAAGCCTAAGCTCCCAAAATTGCAACTTTATTCAATCTAACTTGTGAAACTTCTACCCAACAATGGCACAGTTGAGTCAAGAAATGAAGGAATACATCCTTCACCAGGCTGTGAAGTTCCGGTGCTCCGACCACTCGCACACGGACGTCCCGAACGGCGACGACTCGAAGCACTGCTGCAGTCACGTCGCAGGTGTTCTAATGCAGCGTTCTGAGCGGCGGGAACACGTTCGTCGGTTCGGGCCCCGTCTACGGTGGGAGCCGTCCATCAGGTCCAGAAAATGGGGAGTGAAGCCGTCCAGAACGAACCTGTCATGTATTGCGAACCTTGGAGGGCTTCCTCTCTTGGAGCTTGATCTTCTGGCATACTTCCACTCTCTGCTGAATTGTTGTGTTGCAATCTCAGGTGAGTTCAGATATGACTTTGACATACTGTACCAAATTCAACATATTCAAGTGATCAGGATTAATCAGGATCTTTTCCCCTTTCCTGGGTGTTCAATCATTCCACATCCGGCCTTAACCATGCTGGTAAAGCTGGTCCATCTGAGCACTCAACATGCAAAACCTAGTGTGGGGCTGCTAAAGTCCTCCTGAGCTATGACCAACTATGAACAGGCCAAAGCAACAAAAAACACCAACACAGCGGAAGAGGGGTTATGGGCAAAGCATCCTGCACATGCTGCACTGCACCAAATCTCTGTTTAATGGTGCGCACCTGAATGCCAGAAGTTCCAAGGGGGTCGTACATGTCTATTGGACGCCCAAGGGTGATGTCTTCATCCCCGAGTCGGCACTGTTCGTCGTATTGTTCGGTGTAGTGCACCCGAGCCGGAAAGGCACGATCCCGGTGCAAATGATGTACTCCCCTAGGGGTGTTTGGGGTGGGTTGATAGAGGGTCCAAATACCTTCTGAGGAGGTACGACGAGAGCAGTAGGGCTCAGAATCGACTCCTTGCCCCCCGATGCCCCATCGTAACGGTGATTTCTACATCGTATGGTCCTGCAGGTTTTGGGGCTACTCTGCTCTGAAGTTAAGTTGTCATCCATCGATTCCAAGTTTGGAGCACCAAGCAAAAAAAGGTTGCAGAAATCCGAATCAACAATGATGAGAATTTGGGCATGTTATGTGAACGTACACTCTGTTCAGTCCTGTATGTTAAGTGATTCAGGAACGGCCGTGCAAGTCTTCCGGTGCCCTCCGGTCACATCTGCTGCTTCGACTCCCATGCAACCCAGCTGCGAACGGCATATCTAGGCGCAACTTCCCCCGGGCCAGTCTCGCCGGACGCTTTTGGAAGAGGTCATTTCGGCCTTCGGGAATGAGACTTCGAAGGGAAATCGCCATCTGGTGTATGATTTAAAATATGTGGTTAAGATCGACCGGCACTATTACATAGCCATTCTATCCTTTGCTCGGATCTTGACCAGGAGTACGGAAGTCTGCCATGCTGTCCAATCCAACAACCAGGGTGTGGATTAGTTTGGAATGTTTGGATACTTCGGGGCCCTAAAATGCTTGACGCACACCCACTGTTTGGTCAGCTTTTAGAAGTCAAAGAACAGTCACATGTCTTTCTCAGCAAGATCTTAGGTCCAGAAGCCTATATGTCTCCATGCGGGGAAGGCTTCAATGTCTCAGGAATGACTCATAACTTCTCATGCAAACTCATGGAGCCGTGCTGCAGCCTGTGATGGAGCTGGTACTGCTCCACATGGCTCATTGGGACTGGGCTCCGCTGGCTCCGCCCCTGCTTGAGCCGGACACTGCTCCAGTCTTACAGCTTTGATCCTGTGATTCTGCAAGCCTCATGATGCCGAATGAAGGGAGAGGTATCTGAATCAAACGCATCGGAAGTAGGCTTGAATGGTCAAATGTTCCGTTCCATGCGCTCCCAAAACAGGTCCAAAAACCAACACAATACAATAAGTACTAAGTAATTCTATATATATATATTATATATATATAATGTGTTTGTTTCCCCATCACCTGCAGTAATGACTTGTTATGTTTGCTGGGCAAGCCATGCGTATTTGTAGACTTCGTAGTAGACTTGCCTGACTGTTTTGTTTGAACTATACATTGTGGGGTCGAAGCTCCGCTGGACCTGGCTGCCTGTGGCGCATGGACATGGACAAATGCCTTCATAGAACTTCTTGACCACCTGGTCTCCCCGGGCCCAAGTCGCCAAACACTCCAAGTGGAAAAATATGCCGCCCCAACCGCCGCCCGATTGACCCCCGAATGCATTCCACCCGATTGGTCCATATGCCAGCTCCCAAAGAGGTTATGGGACTGTCTCGAGCCTGCCAAAAGGCGTCTCCCCACGAGCCGCCGTCGCAGCACAGGACACACAAAGTCCGGCAGGAAGGGGCAAATGAGTGCCGCCGCCGCGGGGTCAGGGGCGTTGAAGTCGCGCACTGAAGTGACTTCGGTGCCACTGCAAAGTCGACGGCAAAAGGGTGTCACATAGCTCTTCGCCTTGAACTGAGACATGAAATCAAACTATAACTGCATGTTTAGAGACATCTCTGACTACTATGCATGTTTCTATCCCAAAAACCACCCAAAGTGGGTGTTTTCTAAACATCTCAACTAGTCGCTCGGCGCCATGATGTCGCTCGACTTCCCGTCTTCTCCTGGTTCTCTCTCTGACCCTCTGGCGCATCCCAGGCCCCGTTCGCACCGGCCACCGGACATCGCGCCGTGGTCATTCCCGCGGCTCCCTCCGTGGTGGAAGCCGGCGCGGTTGCAGGGCGGCAAACACTGGCGAGTTCGTCCTCCCAGCGGGACGAACTCGAAAAAGAAGGAAAGGAGAAAACCTTGAAAGTGTTTTTCGTACCTAGATTTCTTTTTTGTTGAACACTTTTCTATACTGTTCTGAAGCAAGATGCCGTTTACCATCGTTTATATACCTCCTTTGGCCGTGTGGCGTCTAGAAATGCTCTTGAAGGCACGGCAGGAGTCCCATGTCCTCATGAAGTTGTGTTTTGTCAAGTCGTCTTGCTGACTTGGAAAAAGTTGTTGGCTCCCTTCAAGAGAGGATTTGGGACGGGGATCTGTGTAGGACGCCCAAGGTGTTTTTCTTCGATGACCATGCAAATGGACAATAGTCATCAATGCTCTCTGGCTTCAACTTGTGTCCCAGAAACATATATGATTTACCCTTACCCTCCCTCCAGCAATCATTGAAATAAATTGAAAGGGAAAATAGCTACCTGGAAGATCATGGAAGACGATGTTCCACTTTAAATTAGGCGAAATACATGTGACTTCATACGGTTTCCAATGTTTCTTGGAGGGAGGGTCTACATTCTACCAAAACCCCCAAAAAGACATCAAAGACCTATAGTTTCCGGCACGGTTTCGTGTGTTTCAGGGCCGCTGGCACAGCAACCACATTCCAACAGTTGGCCCAAAACAACCAATGAACAGACCCAAAAGCGGGGTCCGACCCTGATATATTAATATCCATTTATATCCATTTCACTGGTCCGAGTATGTCCGAGTCTACCGTTTGCTCGTCCTGCAAACGCAGTGCTAACACACAGCAGTAGGCACGCACGACGGCCACCAGGAGGCCGACGCAGTAAAGCAGCACACCAGCAAGAGGAGATGCATTGCCTCATTTGAAATCGTGGAAATAGAAAATATATGAAAATATGTCTTCGAATCAAAGGAGCAATGATCAAAGGAGCAATGATGCGCCCACACTATCGTTTGGCAATCGCCACCTATCATTTTCAAGTGGAGTAATTCTTGGAGATTTCAGGGCCTGTATGGGCACATCTCGCCAAAAACAACTTCGAATCGAAGAAAAGACCTACCAGCTACTTCCAAGGTGGAAGCAGCCTAAACCACTGTATCTAAAACACTGAAGGGGTAGTCTTAACTGAAGTGCAAAGTGTTCTTTCAAAACAGGGGACCTCAGAGCATGTGCGGGCATCTCAAATATGTTCCTCTTGACGGCACAGCTTCATCGAGGGATGCACAACTCCACATACAGCTTTGAAGTTCTGTCATGGCCTAGAGACTACAGGGCACCTTTCCTTGAGCAAGCTTCGATTCATCCACCGAACGCTACCAACCAAACATGACCAAACAAAAGGATACATCAACGCACCTTACCAAAAAGTGATGACAACGTCCCACACCCTCAACATCTGACAAGGCCCAGTTCTTTTGCAAACGAATTCCGCGTCGTTTAGCGTCGGCTTGGCGTCGTGTTTTGGGTGCGGTTTTGGCGTGGAGTCTGCTTTTTTATCCCATATTTTTGGATTTTGACCAGTGTCCCTCCAAGACCTGGGCGCACCTGAAAAAGGAAAAGCCGTGGTGAGGGCTCCAAATATATATATATATTTAACATATAATAGTACTAATATAATATAATATATACATATTTTTATATATTAATAAGTGCGTAAATTGTACAGTAAGTCTTTTGAACCATGCGCTGGAGGCGAATCAAAATTGGCCAGTGAAACACCTGTCCGTGCTTTCAAGTCACAGGGTAAACGAGCCACTGCCAAGGCGGCGACCAACGTGCTATAGATCTCTGTGCAAATGGTACACACTGCATAGGTCGTGAACCGCGGGATGGCCTGGGAGGAACCGCTTCTCAACTCAAAGAGTCTGCGCAGTGTCCTAAGGTCCAAACAATTGAAGCTAAACAACATGTCCAACTGGGGGAGACCGTGGAACCCACTTCACCCATGACTGAGAGAGGTTGGCGTCCCGGCTCCGGATTTGAGAATTTACGTCAAAAGTGGTAAAGACGGTTCTAATGCAGTTACGCAAATGCAAAAGACCAACTATTTATGGTTTCTTCTTGATGTTTTCTGGGGAAACGGGAACATAAGGACTTCTACTCTGCAAAGCCACAGGAGTTAAACATGTGGCCTCTTGCGGGTTCAACATGTCAGAACCAGGCCTGCCAGGGCCCCCAATATGCAATGCTCTTTGGCACAGCGCTCGTTGAGGACTTGGGTCGCCGAGATGTGCAAGTGACCCAGGCAAACGGAAGAATGCACAGCAAAAGCTCGGGCAAACATTGATGTGCCGATCCTCAGGATGACAAAACCACGAGATTGCCAGTGGTTTCTGTGGTTGAACACTCTACAGAGTCCAAAACTGGTCTCCCTAGTTGAAGACCTATCCACACGGACTGTCTCTGCAAGAGGAAGAAAAAAGTCTTGCAGAGGGATGAGACATAGTGACATAGTGGTCATGCATCTACGTCACCAAGGGCAAAACATTGTGGACCTCAACGCTCTTGGGAAAAAGTCCAAAGTGCTCACAGTTCAAAAGTTGAACAATGAGCAAAAAATAAGACATCACGGTCCAAATTAAAACCAACAGGACCTACAACACAATAGTTCAAAGATATTCACAGCACTGCAGCTGTGTTGGGTGAAACCCATTTCAGACCAGTGTCTCAAGCCAACGACCAAAAGGCCCCGGCAAACCACATACGACACACGAAGCAGCACTGCCAAACATGCAATGACCAAAAAGGCCCCATGCAAGGCATAAGCTGATGCGTAGTGCCGTGGCCGGCACGGCCCCGCCTCGGAGTCTTTCTTTCACGTCCCGAGAGTTAGGCCGTTGGAAGAAGTCACATGGCCGATGGCCGTGGGGGCCAATAGGATCTGAATAGGATCTGAATACACAACTTTGGGCGTCATCTATACTTAGTTTAGTGAATTATCCCGGTTCCCATCTTTATCGAATCTATCTATCTCACAGAATCACCGAATGCCCCACCTTGGGTGCCGGCTCTGGAGCCTCCTCAACCAAAGCACCACAAGCTGCGAAGGCTGCATCCAAGGCCGGGCTGGTGGGACTTGCCGCCAATTCCGCCAGGGTGAGCTCCGCGGTCCCTGTGCCAGCCGCCACATTGGCCACGCTGGCAGCGGCACGCAGGGCACACTCGTTCGCGGCATTGGCAAAGCCTTGAGGTCGGGCCGTGGGGGTGGGCGGTGCTGGCGGCACAGGTTTTGGCTTTGGGGGTGCGGAGGGGCTAGCACAGCCGTCCAGTTCAGCATGGATTTGGTTCTGCACCGTGATGGCATCCACCAAAAGCTTCCGCCGTTGTCGCGCTACGAGGGATGGGAGCAAACGCCAATCAAAGGCGATGCAAGCCAAGCTGGCGACGACCAGCAGTGAGACACCTGTGGTAATGAGGAGCCCGACACCGAAGCCTTTCCTTGGCGCTTGCAGGTTTTTCACGTTCTTAGTTCTTCATAGTGTGACTGACCTCTACAAAAATGCAACCTCCGATTAATTAAACCTCTTTCATCCTTTGGAAGAATGATATAGTGTTATATATACATATACATATATATATATATTTGTATATATGCATCCCGAGTATTCCCGAGTTATCCCCTTAACAACCCCTCAACGTGTCTTTAAACATCTAATGCTGCATTCGGAGCTTCACGCAGTTGCTCGGATCCCACTGAGGCAGCTCGCAAGTGACTCTGGTTGAGGAAATGTCCACACTCACATTTCGGGTACCCAAAGCGGTGGCGTTCTGTGCGTAGTACTGCACGGCAGCCTCACAGTCCATACCTGGGAGAGAGCTTGGAGTCCACGCAGCATGCGTGCGTGTGTGTTGGTGCCGAAGGTGGAAAATCCATGGCCGAAGGATTTGGTGTTCGTCTCCCCCCCAGAAAAAGAATCACCATTATACAATTGGATTCACTACCACTACTGCTAAGAAGTTGTGAAAATGTGTGAGAATGCAGCACAGGAGGCAGGAGGCCAACTTCAGGGGAAATTCTACCGGGATTGCTACAACTTAGGTGCTAACTTGCACCCCACCCGACACCTTCCCGAATTTCCCTCGTCTCAGTGACACAGCTCCAAGGCTGCGTCGCAATTGCCTTGGCTGGGGCCTGCTCCATCGGGCCCGCCACAACCTCCATCGGCCACCAGCTGGTCCCAAGCCTTCTGCGCCCGGCAGCACGGGCGTGCGATGGGATCATAGGTCAACTGTGCCACCTTGGAATGTCACAAGAAACCAGGTCAACCTGTCGTTTCTGGGTTTAGGCAGAGTGGTGCCATCTGCTTTTCAAAGTGAGAAGAAGAAACGGGAGTGCCCAGCAATGCCCAATGCCCAGCTGAGGAGCATCTGTGCAGTTCAGAACTGCCGATGACGACAGCGGCAAGACCAGCGCAAGACTCCACTGCCATGCAGGCATGCTGTGAGCCTAAAGACTCCACGCTAATAAGTGTCCAGTCCAATGGAGATGTAAACACTTACAATGGGGTATTGGTTCGTCCCAGTCCAACACCCAAAAGCTCAAGCAAAGAAACGGATACAATATGGTAATACAATATGGACGGATTGTGCCCCTCTTTGTGTCCAAAAGGCTCAGTTTTGACTTTCGGAAGGGCAAGGACCAGCATTTTGATGCCAAAGTCATGGAGGCTTCAGGTTGAGCATTAAAGTTAAGCCACATGAGGTTATTTAAATTATCTACAAGAAATGTGGGCCTTGATGAAGGTTCCGCCCCTTCTGCAGCCTCTACAGCGGTGGGGCATGCATCCCTCCAAGTCCCTCCTGTAGGTGTGGCTCAAACGATGGTACACGGCTGCATCCTGGCGGAGCGCGACAGCTTCCCACCGCCGATTTGAAGCTTACGGTAACCGACATTAGACATTCCTCAACGACTTGGGAACGACTTTGGAGTCAACGACGAAAGCACCAACGCATTCAAAGAGTTCCAGAAATCCACATCACTCCATATCGCCGGTCAGTGAAAGCTGTTTTGGGGCGACAAGTCCCGTCCACGGGATTAGTTTGGGACCTCGAGGTGGCTCTCTGGAAGCAACATGTGTCCAGATCTGACTGTTTGCATCAGGAGTCCAAATCCACTAAGCAAACTGCATGTGGTCTCAACTCTCCAGAACGAAGGAATGAACTGTTTGCTGGAACGGTTCTGAGGTTTTAGGAGCTTTGCTCACGAGAACCAGGGCCAGTCAACATAGTGTCTGTCTATATTAAATAACAGTGCTTGGTGCTTGTTGGAGTGTTCCCTGGTGCCGCAGGCGGCGCTCCTGGCTGATTTGGTTCATGAGGCTCTGGTCCACTCGCTGCTCTTCTGCCAGCACGTCATCATCTTTGCGAGCAGCATCAAAGTCCTCGCGGCAGCGGACGTGCAGCCGGTGCTGCCGGTCCACGCGCGACTCTGAGCGATCAGGCATACGTATGGTCCGGTCGACATGGTTGCTCGACAACATAAAACTACTACTGTATGCGATCTTTGAAGGAACTGAAAGCACCAAGTTCTGTACCGACAAATGTGAGATACTGGGGCCGTCTTTTGCGAAACAACACGGGGTCCGGGACATGGTTCACATCAAACAGCGAGAGAAAGGGATAGAAATCCCCGGCTGGCATTTATCGACTATATATACATATTTTAGAGATGGCACTACGTAATTTAGTTTCCATATGTTTTCATGGTATATTACAAAATCAGGAATTGACCAGGTGTGGCCATACAGATCTCGATAGACAAGAATTATGCAAGAACAACACTCACCCAAAGTTGCATCTCACACATTAGAGGGCCGACTTTCGTCGTAAACCAACATCATAAACCCAAAGCGACACTTCTTGTTGCTATATACAGTATACGCGTTTTGGGTTGATACGGGGCATGCCGGCCCACAATGTGTTCATAATCTGCTTCCTTGCATGTTCCATGAGGGTATCAAGGGGAGCGTGTTCACAGGTTTTGAGAAGCTGCTCCTGGCAGCGCCCAGGCACAGCACTCCGGCTTCGAGCATCCTGCAAAACGATGCGGGACGACGCGTTCCGACGGCGAACAGGATCTTGCAGGTTCCTGTTTAAAAGGGGAGATAACTCAAATGACCATCACCATGGACAAGCACAAAGGCCGTTGGACCAAGAGTGTATGTGCATGTAAGAAGCGGATACAGTATCTGGATCATCGCGAATGAGGGGAACACCATATGTTTCATAATAGTCATCACACAAATACTGTAATGCAAAGAACAATGCAAAAAATACAACAAAATAGGGCACACAGTTCACAATGAGCAGGAACACTAGGTTGCTGCCTGACACCAAGAAGCCTCGCAAGAGAAGAAAGCCCTAAACAGGAGCACTCCTTCAATAAACATATATAAACCTTTAGAAGCCTTCAACCGTTTTCACGTAAAATGGAACTTGTGCTCGTGTGTACTTCAATGTTGTTGGCATCCACTTTCGAAGACAAGAGTATCCACTGCCAAGCCATACTCTGTAAGATAAAAATCCACGAACACGTACGAATGATTCGTGTTCCTGCTCTAGAGCAAATATTAAAAAGCAGTCCGCAAGACCTCGTTTGCTTTTTGTGCTGGGGTTTCCCGAGGGTATTTGCGCTCCATTTGTTCCTGTTGTTTTTGTTTCCTATTTTTTCCTATTGTTCCCTATTTGTTTCGAGGAAAATAGGAAAAGCACAAAATCAAAACACAAATAGCGCAAACCCTTTTTTGCTAGGACACAAAAATAGGGAGAAAATGGGAGACATATTCAATGACAGCCCTTCTATGACCGCTCTTCACTTGCCATCTTACTGAGATGACCTGACATTCCTTCCTTGTTGCTTTCCCCTGGCTGGCTAGTACTTACTTAACTAAACATATCCTGGTCTGTTCTCAATGTGGCTCTTTGACAAATGTTATGTTCCCGTTCTTCCTCTGGAAGTGCTGGTTTCTATTGCAAACTGTCCAGTCCGCTTGCGTGTTTGTATGACTGTCCTATTTTAATTCCTTGTTTATCTTTTTTTTGGTGTATTGTGTGTATTTTATGTGTATTGTTTTTGTTCCGTTCCTTAAACAATTTCCTTTGTAGACTTTGCTTCTTAGGCAGTTCACAACCATAATACTGTGCAACTAAGGGCCATTGGTGGCATGCATTCTCGCTTCATTTCCTGAGATTTCACGCACAAGGACATGCTTCATGATTCTATAATGGAATTCCATCTGCCATTTTGATCGTAATTGTGGCAGAATGCTGTCTATCAACAAGCGCTACAACATCACGAATGGAACATGCATGTGTGAATTGTTGGTCCCCTTATCAATGCTCAAAACGGAGTACTGTAACTGTAGTATTTGCAACCACGACACTTGTAAGACGGCCAGCCTGGTAGATGAGGTTTGATGCCAGCATCACACACATCCTGTGAGCGATCAACAGGGCCGTTGGCAAAAAGCATTCGTCCGACCCGGTGACTGGCCACTAGGGGTCATTTGCTGGGCGTTCTATAGAGAAATGGTGTCTTATAGAATGGGTGGGGAGGAGTAAAATATCTATAGAACGCCAAGCCACATGCAGCTCTAATGAAAGATCATCTGACGGATGGCCAGGCGCAGCTTCCATAAATGATAAAACCAAATGCAATAGCCAAAATATTAGGTCTTTAAACAATGTTAAACGTAAAACACAAATCAATGAGACCAAATAGCGGTCTCCTTTCCCAGCATTACCCTATATCTCGGTGTCTTCTCCCGGAGGGACACACAAGGGGACACAAGAAGAGGGAGGGTGGAGATCCGCCCTGCGGCATTGTCTCCCCATTGGGAATGTGTCACCGTGTCACTTATGTGTAAGTCGTCTTGTCTTTCGAGTTTCTCCCTGGTTCTCCTCTTCACCACTTCACAAACTGGATTGAACAGGCACAAAGTTTTTCAATTGGACAGGACAGGCCAATCCCACAAAGACCGGTGCTGCGGCCACACATGTCAACACAAAATTAATCCATGAGTCGAGATGCTTTGCCAGATCCACATGCTCTCACGGCATTAAGTCGAAAACATGCCAAACAAAATCTCTAGTACCAAAAATGTTACAGTGCCCTAGTCCTCTGTGAAATGCATCTCAAGGGTTCACAGGGCATGCCAAGAAAGGCCAACCAGCACCAAAAAAAAACCTCCTTATAGAATGGTGTCCAAGGTTCTCCCAAAACAGTAAACCATACCCTATCTTTAGAGTCAAGTGTCAAATGACTGGCAGCCAGTGTAGGATGCCCAATACACTCTCTGTCTATGTGGTCCCAAAGTCCGGGAAGGAATGGGGGAGTCTACTGAGATTGCCGACCAACGACATGGAGACAAACGGGCCTCACATTGCTCCACCATAACGATGACAGCAATAGGTATTGAGTCTTCCCACTAGACCGCTCAAATCATGGGAAGGTGAACTGCCGCAGAAAACAACTCATGGCCAACCCACAGCTCCAGATTGACCTCGCACAAAAGTCTCTGCATACAGTTTTGAAATGTGTTGAAGAGATAGTTCTGAGTTACAAACACTGAACGGCGAATCTCAAATGCTCTCCCTCGCATGGCTCGAGAGCCAGTGGACTAACTGGGTGGATGGGATGCCTTAGGGCTGCCGCTAACTGGGTGGATGGGATGCCTTAGGGCTGCCGCTTTAGGGAGACGTGTTACGTCACAGTCCATATTACATTGGAGATGCAACCGAGGGTTGCAAAACCAATTGTGCTCTGCATCTATAGGGATATGGGGTGCTTCTCTGCGAGCATTAGGATTGCAATGGGCAGCAGTTTTCCTCTGCGTGCATGATGTCGTACTGTGTCTTTCGCCCTTAGACATGACTGCTTAGCGCGCGTAGCGGTGACGCGAAAAACCGAAAACTGCATTGGCAACGCTTGCAGCTTCCGATTTATTTTTTGGGTTGATAAAATAAAGTACAAGTATGATAAGATGGCCCGCGAAGACCTGTGTGGTTGAGAAAACCCTGCGCGGTCGAAGAAACCCCGATCATACAGCATATTTAATGTACCTCGCAAGTCCTGTGGAGCGTCCCCGACTAGTAACAAGGGCATGGCTACTCGTAGCAAGTGCATGGCTACTAGTAGCTTCTTGCTACTAGCAAGATGTAGCAAGATGTAGCAAGAAACTACTAGTAGTGTCTAAGGCCTAATCCCAAATTGATTCACTTGTCGGGCCTCACCGGCTCG